TAAGACTCCGGGCTCCTGCCGTGGAGGGGGGACCGTCCCCACGAGGTGACAGCCAGAACGGCCAGAACGGCGAGGCTTCGCTGCGGCCCCACCACTCACAGCCACCGCGTGCCGGTCTGTGCGGGTCTCTGCGGGCCGCCAGAGCAGCCTCTGCCCCGCCCTGCGCGAGCATGTGCAGTGTCCTCCCTCCTCTGGGGTGACCCCGGCTCCAGCGCCCGCCCACACGGCCCTGTCCCACCCCAGATGACCTGCCACGCTGCGCTGAGGACCCCCCGTCCTCCCGCTGCGCCCAAGGTGCGCCTGGCATGCAACGCCCCCTTCATACCCCCCCCCCCGACGGAGGACCGCTGGAGCCGCCTGCCCTCTCCTGTCCTCTCAGCCCCGAGAAATTCCACGTCACTCCTGGAGTAACAACTTAAAGGCTGTATTGTACAGACAGAAGACCTTTAGGATAAACAAACAGCGTTACACTTCCCTCGTAGCCCATGTTCACCAACTCGCACTTTTCCAGGGTTACCACAAGCTCCTGAGACCACCCCCTTGTGGCAGAACCATGCAACTGCAGAGCATGTCACCAGGGCGGGGCCTGGGAGGGCCTGGGAGGGCCTGGGCCCGCCTGCGGGAGGACGGGACAGAACAGGCACTGAACCCGTGCTCTGCGCGGGGCGCCCCACCTGACGTCCTGACGTAATCCTCCCAGCCGCCCGGGGGGCACACGCTGCTCCCAGTTTGTGAATTAAACAACCACGACAAAGGTTAACAAAGTTATCTAAGACTGTACCGGGTCAGCCAAAAACTCCGTTTACTTTTTTCCATGAAATAAGAGAGAGCCTTTCATGTTCACCAATAACTTTGTTGACTTGGATGTATTCTGAGCATGTCAGCTGTCTCCCACTACTGGCTTCCAGTGGGGAGAGGCCGGGGCGCTGCCAAGCATCTCACAAAGCACAGGACAGCCCGCAGCAAGGAACTATCTGGCCAGAATGTAACCAAGAAACTTTGCAAACCACTTTTGACACGTTCGATCGGCCACAACACCTTCTCCATACGCTGCACAAACCTTTTTTTGCATTTCAGCTGCATTTTTACCTTTCTTGAAATAATATAGCATAGTACACTGAAAATACCACTTATTTTCTTTCATCTGCAATATTAAAATGGCTACACTAAAAGATACCAATTTTGGTTAAGTATTTTCAATGCACACTCACGTGACAGCTGTCACTACACACCCTAACGAAACTGTTTCACACGAAGTCAAAGACAACTAAGCACCACCAGAGCCATCGCCCAGCAAAGACTCAGCGCCCTCTGTGGCCCAGACAACGGTCAGGACAAGCGCCATGCCAGGCTCTGACTCGGGTATGGACACGACGCCCCACCCCGCCCATGAGGCCCCGTGCAGCGCACAGACCCTCCTTCCTGCTCCCACGGCCCCGACGGCCGGAACGCATGCAGGTCGTCCCGCGAGGCCGTCCAGGCCAAGTCCCACCCTCAGGGCCGACCCACCGCTCGCGCACCACACCGCCTGTGCTCACCTCGTGGGTACAGCCCTCGACGGTTTCCACCGACTGCACTTTCACTCTGGGCATCAGGTCTGCCAGGCTTTAAAAACAGGTGAGGTCACGTCAGAACAGGGAGTTTCTCTGCAGCTCACCCCGCACGCCCCGCCCGCAGGCCTGCCCTCGGTTCCCTCCTGTCCACTCTGCTCGGGATGCTGATGAACGAAGGAAGTTATTTTGCCGCTTCTTCTCTGACAAAACCCAGACTCCACGGGGTTCTCGCCCCAAGTCGGACTCTAAGTACTGAAACATCCTGTCTACAGTCTTCCACTCCCCCAACCTACGTAACCTTCTCTATTTAGATGCTGGTGTGTCTACCTGTACGAAGAATGTCTTCACTTTTCCGACTCTGCACAGAAACAGAACTTTGAGGCGTCACTCGACCAGCCCACTCACGAGTGACTGACATGCACGCAGACGGAAATGCTACCTCAGGTCCTCGGTTACGGACTCCTCCACCCTGGGCTTCTTCCCGAAGACGGGCTCGTCCGGGCTCTCGAAATCCGCGTCCCTCTTGGTTTTCCCGACGTTGGCGGGCTCGGGCTGCAGGTGGCCATCGGGACGCTTCCTGAGGAACGGACGGCATACGGTGAGTTCTGGAGCAGCAGCTCCCCCGCCCGGAGGGACTCTGTGAAATGCTGCCCCACATGGAACACCCGCCCCGTTAGCAGAAGAAGAATTCACGAAAACACCGGGTTCCCAACAAGATTGATTGTTTTTTTTTCAATGCAGTGTAGTGCGGAGTTGGGCTGAGTTGCCTTCACTTCGTTTTGAAACAATTTTGTAACATTGTATTGTGACAGCTGTCATATCAGCCAGCATTAAAAAACAACTCATCAGAATTGATGAATGCTTGTGCAGCCATTTCAATATTGAAGGTAGAAAAAGATATGAACATTTTGGCATAGTACGTTTTATTTCAAGAAAGGTAAGAATGCAACTGAAACGCAAAGAGAGATTAGTGCAGGGTATGAAGGTGCTGTGACTGATCGAATGTGTCAAAAGTGGTTTGCGAAGTTTCTTGGTACTATTGACATTCTGGCCAAATGCTCCTTTGCTGTGGGGCTGTCTCGTGCACTGGGAGGTGATGAGCTGCACCCCTGGCCTCCGCCCACTGGAAGCCAATAGCGGGAGAGAGCTGACTTACCCAAAATATATCCAAATCAATAAAGTTATTGGTGAAAATCAAAATGCATCTTTTATTTTATGCAAAAAAACTGAACAGACTTTTTGGCCAGCCCCCAATAAACATGACAGCAGTAACATTGAGATTAAGATACTGAGTACAGTTTTGTGCTTCTTTCTTTACTTAGAATGTGTCACACTGAGAATGAAAATACTCCCTAGTTTTTTTAAATGTTTATGCTACTAACTTGATACCTGTTAATTTGTTTCCATCTATTTTCCATATTTAAGGATTGCTAAAATATTCATTTTTTTTAAAAAATTATGTTGCCCTGGCCAGTGTGGCTCATTGGGTCGGAGCGTCATCCTGTACACTGAAAGGTCCCGGGTTCAATCCTGGCCGGAGTGTGCGTGAGAGGCACCCGAATGACTGTCTCACACATCGATGTTTCTCTCCCTCTCTCTCTCCCTTCCCGTCTATCTAAAATCAATGAGCATGTCGTAGTGTGAGGATTAGGAAAAAAATTCTGTAAAACATTTCACGGTCCCAAAGTCAGACCTTCATAACATTATATTCTTGCTTTCCTCCTATCTCTGCCCTGTTTCTTCTCTCTCCTCGAGTTTTCGGTTTCGGTTTTTCTCCTCGAGTTTTCTGTCGCACACACACTCAGACCGTGTGCACGTGTGCGCACACCTGCCGTGTCTGTCCGCTCCGGCGCTCACCGTTTGTGCCGTCATAAACGGTGCGGCAAGCAGGAAACAGCCTGTGCGTGTCTGGCTTTTCAGTTTAAATTTTATCTTTGAGATAGATTCCTAAACTTAGAATTCCTAGGTCAAAGGGTGCATAATTTTGCTAGGTGTTGCACAGATTTGTACCATTCTGTGTTCCCAACAGTATGGTAGGCAGAATGAACGTCCCCCCCTCCCAATCCCAGCACCACGGTCAGAACTGATACAATGCTATCTATCATCAAACCTGCAGACTTACGCAGACGCTGCCAACTGCTGTCATGCCCTTTGTAAGAAAAGGATTTGGTACGGGACCCCACAATTGGGCTGTCATGTCTAGAAATAACATTTACAAAGCATCTCAAGAATGGAAATCTTCTTCTTAAAGCGTAGGCTTGCTATCTATGATGCTTTACTTCCAGCTTTTCTACATAGCTCAGGAGATCCGAGTATGCAAGTCCCACGGAACAAGCACACCAAGCTGTAGGAGAAGTAACTGGAGAGAGACCTAGGAGTGTAACATACGGCACTATACTTTCACGTGTCAGCCTCTCCTTGTTCTGTAAACAATTCCGTCCACTTTCCGTGAGATATCTGCACCAATAGTAAACTCGGTGACCGACAATCGTTGAAAACTTACACGACCAGGCCCTTTACACATTCTGTGACTTACTCGTCACGACAGCCCTGGTGGCAGGCACTGTCATCTCCTTCCTTTGGGCTTGGAAATGGTCGATTTCTCTCCCTTCTCCCCTCGCTTCTTTCCCTTTCCCCTGCAAGTCAACTCGAGTCGGGTTTTCCACGCTCCTTAACCCTGCACTCAGCTGCTGTCTCGCTCCGTGCATCAGGGACCACCCGTCAGACGCTGCTTTGCAGCTGTTCACCGCCCGGGACCCGACCTCACCGGCCCGCAGGCCCCCGCCCCGGCGCAGACACGCGGAGGCGGCCACGCGGGCTCCAGCGCCAGGCCTGGGCCCACAGCGCCTGCGCACAGCGGCGACGCCGGCCGCGGCTCCCTCGGCCCCTGCCACCCCCGACACCGACTCCGGGGCCACCCTGCCCGCTCGGGCGCCGTAAAAGGCTCGTCCTGTCCCCCGTCGGCGCTAAAAACCGGAAAGAGGCCGTCGGCCAACCCCCTTACCCGGCCTTCTCCGCGGGCCCCGGAGGCCCCTTCCATTTCCCCTTGTCCTTGTCCTTCCCGGATCCCGGCGCGGCGGCAGAGTCGTCCTCGAACACGCTGAACAGCTCATCCCCGAAGGCGTCCGCCATCTCCGGGAGCCGCGAGCGCGGGGCCGTGACGCCCGCGGGCGCCAACGGTGGCTGGGGCGAGACAAAAGGGGTCGAGCTGCCCGGCCCCCGGAAGCTTCCCGGACTACTTTTCTCCTCCGACGGTGCCTTCCTCTCCGCGCCCGGAGGCCTTCCCGCCCTCCCCGAGCTCGGCGCGCTCTCCTCTCCCCGCTCTCCGACCCCGCGTGGGCGGGCCGCTCGGGGGTCCCGCGGGAGCGCGGCGAGCCCGGCACGCCGGCGGCGGGGGCGGGGCCTTCGTGCTCCCGGCCAATCGCGAGGCGGCGACCGCCCCCGGCCCGAGAGGCCCGGATGGAGACGCGGGCCGGCGGCGCGCGGCGCGCTCGGAGGCTGTTCCGGGGCCGGGCCTGGGCCGGGCGCCGTCTTCCGCCGGGGCTGCAACATGGGCGGCAAGAACAAGAAGCACAAGGCGCCGGGCGCCGCGGCGGTGCGCGCCGCCGTGTCCGCCTCCAGAGCCAAGGCCGCCGAGGCCGGAGCCGCCCCCGAAGCGCAGACCAAGAAACCCGCGGCCAGGCCGCCCGCCGCCGCCGGCCCCCGGGAGCCCCGCGTCAAGCCAGGTACGAGCGGCCGGCGGGCCCGGCTTGGGTCCCGAGGGAGGGGGCGCCTGCGCAGACCCCGGCCGCCTCGCGGGACCCGCCGGAGGTGTCGGGGCCTCCCGAGCCGCGACGGGCCCCCGTCTACGCCCGCTCTTTCTCTTCCGAGGACAAAACCAGGATTCCTGCGGGCTGGCTCCCGGCGCCGGGCCCCCTCCCCTGAACCGGCCGCTGCCGCCATGTCCAGCCGCGCCGTGGCGAAGCCACGTGTGGAGCGAGCCGGTGCTCGGGGCGAGTCCGGTGCTGACACGCCACCTGCGGGCTGGCGCGCCGGGACCCCGCGCGCGACCTCCACGGCAGCCGCGCGCTGGGGCTGTGCGTGCCACTCGGGGGGACAACTACTGGGCAGGCGACGGCCCCCGAGCGCGACAGGTCCCGGCGGGGGCAGGTTTCCAAAGACGAGCGAGCAGTCACTCGCCGTGGGTTCTGCTCAGCTGGTCTGCCTGGGGTTCTCACCGACACGCGCGGGCAGCTGTCGAGCACCTGCTGGTGGCTGGCCTCTCGCCCGCCCCGCCGGCCCCGGACGCCGGGGTCCGCCGGGGTCCGCTTCGGAGACGCGCCCTGCTGTGTGATCCGCAGGGGCGCAGAGAAACGCCCGGGCACGGAGCGTAGCACTGCGCTCCAGCTGGACGGCGAGGGACAGCGCTGGGCCTTGCCCTTTTCACTTGCCCTCTTGGCGCCCAGTCTGGGCGCTCCCGAGTTCCGGGAGCACCGGCCAAGCCTTCGTTTCTTTTCCCCGCTGCACCTGCCCTGCTCGGGCGTCGGACGGGGCGGGAGGGACCCTGCACCTCCCACTGCCTTGCACAGCCTCCGGCTCTGTGATGCCACCCGCACCGTTCAGTGGTGTGACGTCCTGGACCTTCTTTCCAGCCGATTCCTAAGCCCCACCTTCTGCCGAGGCCACCCTGGGGTGGTGTCGCCGCTCTAGATGCAGCAGTGGGCACTCTGCCTCCTCGGGTGCACCCTTGCCGTTTTCTCCCAGTGGAATGCCCAGCCTGTCCGTAACACTACAGACCGAAATCCTGGGACACCCCGCCCCCCGCTGTGTCAGCTGCTTTTGTCATTCCCCCGTGTCCACGGCTCATGCACCGTGTGGTTTGAATATTCCGTCTGGTGTTTAGATCTTGCCTACGGTGTGTGAGGAAATGCGCGTTTTACCTGCGGGAGGTCGGAGCTGTTTCACGGAGCACAGGAAGGCCCCTCAGTGTCTACTCCGGTGCTCTGCGTGTGTCACTCAAACAAGCCGTAGGAGAAGTGGCAAGGAGCGACTTAGAGACATTGTTAAGGACAAGACGTTGAGACAGAGAAAATCAGAGAAGGGCTACTAAATTTGTAGGGAATTTTTTATAACTCGAAGTTAATAGTATGTGGTATAAATAACATGTGGCTACGCAGAGCGCCGTGATGCAGACCCTGGCTCCTGGGGTCCGCCACGTCGTGGATGAGACACGAGATGTTCACACGGACCACCGAGTCCTGTGGAGGGAAAGGGACGGCGCGGCTGCTCTCTCAAGGGGAGGGAAAGCCTAGGCCCTACCCTGGGCCTGCTTTTATTGCTTTTCTGGGCACATTGCTTGATGGTCCTCATTTACTGTGCACAGGCTCCCTGTCGGTGGTCACCTTTTACAGAAAACCAAGGAGAGGATGCCACTAATCACATCACAGGAGAGGGATATTTGCAAATGCGAAGGGAAAAGTGGTTGAACCAGGTTACACTCCTCTTTGGGAGGTTTAGCACAGATTTTAGGAAGTTACTTTAAAGGTACCTAGTAAACGTTTGCTGCCGCAATTCAGGGTGAGGGAGTTTTAGCAAAAGCAAATCTCAAAGCGGCCCAGGCACATTGCAGGCCTGACTCCCCACGGGAGAACCTGTCCGTGGGCGTGGGTCCTGGGCATCTCCGAGTGGAGCTGGGCCCACGCCACGCAGAGCGGTCTCCTATAACACCACGTGATTTTTTTTCTTTGTGTTTCTTTTTGTTTGGGGATGTTTTTTAAATGACGAAATAAGACGACTTTGGGGAAAGAGTGGGAAGTGTCATCGCTGGCCTCCACCTCCACTGCCGCCCTTCCCACAGCTTGGGGGGCGCGTGTGGCCCGCTCTCCCAGAACCGCCCCCTCCCCAGCAGTGGCTCCTGGCACGATTCCGGGTGTCCCGCCACTCCGGCTTCCGTGTTTTCTCACCCCGCGGGTTCACGAAGTAGTTTCTGGGGAGTTGCTATGTGGCAGGCAAGAGGTGAGGCCCCGGGGCCCCCCACGAGCAAAACAGACCGAGACCGCTGCCCTCGGGAGCCCACAGCCCGGCCTGGGGGTGGGGCGCTCACAGCACCAGGCTCGTGTCTGGGACAATCCTTAACCCTAGTGGAGACCGCCATCTGAGCACGGGGATGAGACTGGGGAGCTGGTAGCGTGAGTACACTCTAGGGCCCCCCAGATAAAGCAGTGAGGACCGTGACGGTCGGAAACCAGGGACTCGGCCAGGAAAAACTGGGTGGCGCAGTCTCTTGGTCCAGGGCCGGGATGGCTTCCCCGGGGAAGCCTTGAAGTGAAGGTACGTGGTTGAGGCCCCAGGACCAGGGCAGAGGCCCAGGGCCCGGCTAGTTGCAGGGAGACCAGAAGAGAGTCCGTGGGCGGGGCCTCAGAGGGCACCTGCGTGGTTATCAAATGGGGGAGGGAGGCCACAGCTGGTGCGCCTGGTTGAAGGGGTTGTCAGGCGGTCTGGCAGCGTGGGCACGCCCAGGACCCTGACCGCCCCTTCCCACACCTGCATTTACTCCCTGTGTCCCCTGCGCCCCCCCTCCCCAGCATCTGCGGGTGCTCAGTTGCTTGACAACTCCTCCAGACTGCGGCCTGCATGCGGACAGGCACTGGGTCCCTCCGCAGACAGATGCTGTTGGCCAGAAGGGGACGCCGGTCACGGGCACTGGCGGCCTGTGTGGCAGTGACAGTGGCCACGATGGTCCCTGGGGCACGTGCAGCCCCGCAGGCGTGGAAGCAATGCCTCCTGGAAGACCCTGGCGCCGGCGGTGCCTCTGTGTTGGCCGAGTCATCCTGAGGGGCCGCTGCGTGTTTCTGTGCTTCAGCTTCCATGATCTGGGGGCCGATTGCGTGTCACGTTGGTCCATGAACTTGCACTTACAGATTTGAAGTCCGTAATACCTTCCGCCTCGGAGATGCTGCATCCCAGCATCTTTGCTTCCGGCCCTGATTTCAGTAACTTCCTCCATCTGAACCGGTAAACCGGAGCTTCCGGAGGAGGGGCTCTCCGCAGCGAGGAAAGGCCCTGGCGGGAATCTCAGGCGCCGGACTCGGCACCAGAAGGGGAGCCGTCCTCCTGCCGTGGCCTGGTGGCTTTGACTTGTACTTGGAAACGGGGTCGCTGATGTTCAAGTTGGAGTGCCTGTCGTCGCCCGGTCCCTTCGCTGTTTCCGGGGCCACAGAATGGGGGCCGGGGTGGGAGGCCATCGGGCTAACAGCTGACAGGGGACAGGAGAGGAGGCCAAGGGACGTCCAGGTGGGAAGGTAGCGCGTCCCTGGCAGCTGAGTGCGCCCAGCCCGTCCGGCGGCCTCGCCGGCCCCTAGAGACAGCACTCGCCGTTCCCGTAGGAGGGGCCTGGACCTCCGGGTCTGCCGATGGTACTGTGTCGTGTGCGGCCGGTGTAAATGCACTCTGGGAGGACTTCCGTCAAAAGTTACTAGAATTCACATTTCAGACTCTGGAGTTTTCGCCCCCACTGGTTAAAAGCCGTGCAGGAGCGTGTTTCAGGGAGAATCTGAAGCTGAGAGGGCCTGCCTGGCGCACCTGGTTTAGTGAGCGATGGCTCCTCGTTGCCCAGGCCTGAGAGTGGTGACTGGGTGAGCGCGTTCAGAGACCCGGGCTGATGGCCCGTGAGTGCCTGGCGGTGTGTGTGTGTGTGTGTGTGTGTGTACGCCGCCCCCTGCCCCCATGTGGACACAGGCAGGGCGTGTGCAGGAGGGGGCAGACAGGCCACGTCTACGGCCACCGTGAGCCTGGAGAGGCCGGCGGGGCTCTTGCTGGGAGCCTCCGGGGGGCACGTGGGCCTCCTGGCTCTCGAGTTTGGACTCCAGCCTCCAGCACACATGAGAGACGGTGCTCCTGGGTCTCCAGCCACCCAGTGAGTGGTGGTCCGCGGCAGCAGCCCCCGGGGACCAGCAGGGCGGCCTCGGCCTGAACTGGAGATGAGAGAGGAGCCTTCCCCCCCTTCCCTGTTGCCCGGGGAGGAGTGCCCCTCTCCCTAGTCACCCCTCCTCCTGGCCAGGCCTCTGTCCGCTGTCCCTGAGAGTCTTAGTTCTGCCGCGCTCCAGGCAGAGAAGCACCTCATTTCTAAAGTAGGAAGAAGAAGACAGGTTTACTGTAAAAGTGGTGCAGGTGTTCTCACGTGGTGGGCAAAGGGTCACCCCCGCGAGCACTGACCGGTCCGTGGTTGTGAGAACACGCAGAGAGCCGTGGGGACCTGTAGGTGAGCTGGGGTGGGGAGGGCTGAGACCCAATGGTGTTTAGCAGCCTTTACAGAGAAGCTAAAGTAGTGTCATGGATAGTAATCATTACATTGCCCTCACTTTCCATTCTCTGTTATGTGCAGGTCCGAAGATTTATAGTTTTAACTCTGCAAATGATTCCGGTGGTCCTGCAAATCTGGATAAATCTATTTTGAAAGTAAGTAACAAGCTTTTGAATCATTTCAAGAAATGTTCCCTTTAAAAAAAAAAAAAAGAGCCTTGGCTGGTGTGGCTCAGTGATTGACTGTGGACCTGCAAACCAAAGGGTCGCAGGTTCGATTCCCAGTCAGGACATATGCCTGGGTTACTGTCCAGGTCCCCAGTAGGGGGCACATGAGAGGCAACCACACACTGATGTTTCTCTCTCTCTCTTCCTTCCTTCTTCTGTATCTAAAAATAAGTAAATACATGAATCCTTAAAAAAAAAAAGATGTATTCTGAAGTATAATGAAAAGATGGGGTATCTAGAGTTTTTGGAAAGAGTGCGTTGACCATGCATCTGTATGAAGCAAAGCAGATCACGCACGCGTGTTGGGCGCTAGTGAGACGTCGGCGAGCCTGGGTGTGGCCAGGCTGGGGCGCACAGCACATCCGGCTGGCTCTGCCCCGGTGACCCTGGTCGGCCTCCTGCCCACATAGATTGTCGGTTCCCGCCCCGTGTTCGCTTGGGCCCACGGGGCTTCGTGAGGACAGCAGGCCCCCGCCCAGGGGCGCTCTGCCTCGAGTGCCCCACCTCCCACCTCCACCTGCCAGGTCTGCGACCTTAACGCGTCCTTTGTAAGTCACCAGGCTGGTCTTCTGGGTGGCTCCATGCGCTCTGGTGTGCCTTTTAGAGCAGCTGCCCTGCGGGGTTACAGTTGGCTGTGCTGGGTGTGTCTCCTTCGCTGCACCGAGTCCCCGGAGCCTGGTTCTGTGCTCACCCGCAGGAGGCACTCGGGAGAGGTGTGAGAAGGGGCAGCTGTCCGCGTAGGTGCCAGTGCGCCCTCAGGTTGCACACGGGAGGCAACAGGGGATTATTACCCAGCTGATGGGAAGAAGCAGGAGCCCAGCTCCAGAAGCCAAAGGAACGTGCGACCTCGTCACCACTTCCACAGACTTGACCGTCGCCGGCTGTGCCCCCCGTTGGTGTGGCCTCCGTGCACCCGGGCCGTGTTCGGCTGGTCTGCGTTCAGGGGAGCCCCGGGCTGCACCCCCGGGGTCTGACTGACGCAGGGTGGTCCGGCGCTCTGGGCTTTGGAGCGGCCGCCCAGGGAGGCGTGAGGGCACTGTCTCACTGTCTGGGATCACGCGGCTTCAGGAGGCTGCTTTAGAAGAGGGTTTCTTCCTTGCCGTGTGTTGCTGCTGTTTCCACGTCCCACTTTCCTTAAATGCGCGGTCCCAGGGTCCTCTAATGGATGGCAGCCCCAAACAGGGTAATTACTCTATCTGGTTTTAGCCGAAAGCCTGGCCTCGGTTGGCAGGAACAGAGAACACTGATAGACTTCACATTACTTAATTTTACTAAATGTAATTTCATAGCTTAGCTTGTAATTGATCTTTTTTTTTTTTTTTTTTTTTTTTGCCTCAACAGGTGGTGATCAATAACAACCTGGAGCAGAGGGTCATTGGCGTGATCAATGAGCATAAGAAGCAAAACGATGACAAGGGGGTGATTTCCGGGAGACTTACCGCCAAGAAGCTACAGGTATTGGGCCCGTTTTCTGGGGCTCCGTATTTCCCGCGGGGCACTGGCAAGGCAGCGGCATGCGTGAGACACGGTCACTTAGTCGGCCGGCCAGCCCCGCCTGCGGGAGCAGGGCGAGGGCCGAGGGCCGAGGGCCGAGGGCCGTGTGCGGGCCAGGCCGGGCTTCCGAGCGGCAGCAGCAACGTGGGCACTGAGCCGCCCCCCAGGCCTCACTTTGTCCCGTTCTGTGGGCGCCGCCCTCCCTGTTCCGTGCACAGCGGTCCCAGCGGGCACGCCGCCCCGTCCCTCCAGCGAGGGGCGTGAGGCCGGGAAGGGTCACACCAGGTACAGCCTGAGGTGGTTCATCCGCCCGTCAGGAGCAGGGTGAGCAGAGGCTGGCTCTGGACCCAGTCCTGTGCAGCTCTCAAAGGTCGTGCCTTTGACAGCGTGTTCGCACGCCCTCCTTCACGTGCGAGCGTGTCCGCGGACGCACGGCCCGGGGCAGACGTGAGAGCGTCCCGAGTGCCCACGCCTCTGGGGAAACGTGTCGTTAGACCCTGCCCCGTGGCTGCGGAGAGTGGCGAAGAGTTTCCATGACTCGGGAAGGTGCTTACCTCACAGTGCTAAGTGAACTTTGTCTTCGCAAAGCCGCGGACACATGACTGAAGGGACACGTCATACTGCAGGAAGCACGTTCAGACAGTGAGAATGGGAGCGATTTCTCCCGGCGCCCCCCCCCCCCCCGAATTTATCTGTGGTTCTCAAGTTCTCAGTGCAGCGAGCCCCTTTGAGTCTGAGGACTGCAAAAAGAGAAAAGAAAAACGTTTTTGGACACTTTCGGAGTGGTCACTGGTGTCAGAGACCCTGGGTTAAGTAAGACGCACGGGAGGGTGGTGCTCGTGATGGAGGAGGGGGCGGCGGCGGAGTGACCCTTCCGCTGCCCCGACAGGACCTGTACACGGCGCTGCAGGCGCTCTCCTTCAAGACCTCGGACATCGAGGACGCCATGAGCAGCACGCTCCTGCAGGGGGGCGACCTGCACTCCGCCCTGGACTGGCTCTGCCTGAACCTCTCCGACGGTGAGCCGCGGGGGGCCGCGGGGGGGCGGCAGGTGGGCGGCCGCGAGATGCTTTCCCTTTCCGGCGCGGCTTTGGAACTGGGTGCAGCACGGATGATGTTTGCACCGAGCTTTTGACTCGCACTTGAAGTTTTTCACTGGCACGGTGATTTTTTTGCTAGAATGTTCTCGCTTTTTTTGTTCTTTTTGGTGTCGCCTCCTTCGAGGTACAGTCTATGCGGGAAGGTTGTTTTTTCCTGTGCTGCTGTCAGCGGTTCGTTGTACAGCGCACTTACTACTGCAGACTGCCCAGGTCTGCCTGCCTGTGGCCTGCGAGGCCGGGTCTCCTGCTTTTGGCTGGAGGCGGGGCCGTGGGGCCTTGGCTAGGTAGCGTCTGGCTCAGCAGGTGGGCGAGGGTGGGACCCTGGGCGAGAACTGGGAGTGTGCGCTGCTTGAACGGCTGGCTCAGGGCACTGCCATTGGCCGGAAGGAGCGCCCCGGGCAAGGGAACGGCTGGGTTCTTCCAACGGAAACGTAGGGGCCGTAGGGGCCGGCCACCTTGAGGACAGAGTGCGTGGCCGGGTAGGCGGGCCGGCCGTCCTCTGCCGAGGGCCCCTGAGTGCGGTGTGACGGTGACCGGGGCTCATCGCAGGGCCTCTCTGGGGATCTGAGGGGTGCGGGAGCACCCGGTGCTCTCTGCCCAGGCGGGGTCTGTGTGTGTGTGCGTATCTGCGTGCACACAGTGAGACTGTGTGTCTGAGGGTCATGTGCGTGTCTGTCTGCGTCCTCACCTCTCTGCAGACTCGCTGCCCGAGGGCTTCAGCCAGGAGTTCGAGGAGCAGCAGCCCAGAAGCAGGCCGAGGTTCCAGCCCCCTCCGGGGCCGGCCGCTGTGCCGCCCCCCGTGCAGCACCCCACAGCCGGCACACCACGGGAGGGCCCCGAGAGCAAGGTGACTGAGGGGTTGGACGTGTGAAGCTGGACGGGATTGGGGGGAAGCCTGCGTGGCTGCTCCTGACGGGGCGCACGTCGGGGTCGCTGTGACGGCGCTCCTCGCCGCGCGCAGCCCACCGGGCTGCGCGGCTTCCCTGTCCCGGCCGCCGGCCGTGGTCTGCTGCCGCCTGACGGTCCACTCACAACGTGGGGGCGGAGACCAGCGATGCCGCGTCCTGCCCCAGGAGTCCACGGGCCGGCCTGGGCTCGGGCGGGCCTCCCTCTGTCCCCCCACCAGGTGTCTCCTGGGGCTGGAGTGCTCGGACAGTGGTGTCTGCCTCACACCGGGGGTGCCCGGTGGGCGGGGCTGGCCCGGACCAGCTGCGGTCTCTCACACACGGAGCTTCGTGCTGCGGGGGCTCCTGAGAGCAGGTGTCCCAGGATGCGCAGCCTGGGTGTGCCGGCCTTCGGGCCCCTGCTGGTATTGCTCTTGCTAACAGCCACGTGTCAAAGCGACTCGCAGAGCCACCTCCGGCGTCTGTGTGTGGGGCGTCGCAGGGAGGCGCGTGAGCACCGGCAGGTGCAGCTCGTCGGGGCGTCCCACTCGAGCACTCTGCGCCGTGCAGAACGCCTGGGGGCCCGCACGAGCCAGAGCACGTGCCGTGCCGGGGGAATGAGTGGTCTCGGAGAGGCAGGCGCGGGGGCGGGGTCTGGAGTGGTCAGACGCACGGCGGCAGAGCAGGGCCGCGGTCTCCGGGGCTGGGAGCAGGGGTGCGGGCCGCTGTCACTCGGTGGCTGCAAAGTCTCAGTTGGGCAAGGCGAGTGCATCCCGGAGACGTGCAGCCCACCCCTGTGCCTCTTCTGACGGCACAGCGCCGCGCACTCGAACATGGGCTGCGAGGCCGGGTCCCAGGGTCAGAGTTCTGACCACGCCCCGCCCCCAGCCCCAGCGTGCCCACGAGAACACGAGGTCAGAAGTCACCATGGGAGGTGAGGGGTATGTTCAGTGCTCGGTGGTGGTGGCGGTGTCGTGGGCCTGTGCACGTGTCCAAACCCACCACCACCATGAGCTCAGTGACACCTCACATGTGTGTTAGTGTGCAGCATGCCATGTTTCCACGGATACATCAAATGCGTCACACCTCAGTAATGCTCAAAGCAAACAAAAATAAAATACAAGTATCAGCCTCATAAAACCACAGTCTGTAAGGAGGAACACTTGCTTTTTGGTTCCCAGCAGTCCTTTCATTTTTGCCCCTTACGTAAACATGCAGGTTCAGAGTTTCCCTAAAGCAGTGCTGACCTCAGCCCTCCCGCCCCTCCCTGGCCACCAAAGAACAGACTTCCGAGGCTGTGCCCACTGGTTTGGGTGTAAAGAGTCGTGCCGGCAGCGTCCCTTGGTTGCGGTGTTGACGCCCTTTTGTAACTTTGGTTTCTCAGGTATTTGTTTTTTGTTCCTAGCCAAAAAAGGAAGAAAAAAACTCGGAAGTGAACATGAAAGAATGGATTCTGCGGTACGCTGAACAACAGAACGAAGAAGAAAAGAGCGAGAACTCTGCAAGTGTAGAAGAGGAGGAAAAGTTTGACCCTGTGAGTGGAAGCTTGTGTTAGACTTCCGGCTGGAAAGCCTTCAAGACCCCCCCTCGGGCAAACCGGCCCGTCTGCGAAGTTAAACACGCCCCCGTGTGGCCCGCCCGTGTCCTTCCTGGGGACTCGCTCCGTCTGGTGAAGATGTGTGTCCACCAGTGGACACGCACACGACCGAAGTGCACGGCGCCTGCGCGCGGGAAAGCGAGCCGCTGGCGAGGGCGGCAGGGGCGGGGGAGGGCGGGCAGGGGTCGTCCCCCAACCCTTCCCTGGCGGCTTCCAGGGGAGCGGCCCGCGCAGCGCGGCGGAGGCCGAGCGGGGGGAGGAGGCTCCTGCAGGCTCCGTGAGGGAGCCGTGGGGGCAGCGGACACCCTGCCTTCCTCGGTCGGGTCGCGCGGGGCTCACACAGACGCACACGCTCGCAGCCTCGCTCGCCCGCACGCGGCGGGACGGGCAGCTTTACTGCAGGCGGGACACGCCTTTGTGAGGCCGGCTCGGGGGGAACACGGGTGGGGTGCGGGACAGCCCGTGTCACGGTGAGCCCACCGCGGGGGACAAGCGCAGAGTGCAGTGCTGGTGGTCTCGCGGGTGCCCGAGACCACGCCAACGCCCCCTGGAGCCCTTCCTGGCGGTTAGGCGGGGTGGGGGCGACGGGGGGACGTCCTCCCTGCGGCCTCCTGACCTGGGCAGCCGGGACCGCGTGCCTGAGCCTGTGTCTGCGCCAGGTGCTGGCTCTCCCGTCGTCTCGCCTGCCGCTGCTGCCTCCACGCAGACTGGCCCCGGTCCCTCGGGGCGTGCCCTGGGTGCTCTCTCCCCGTGCGGCCCAGCACGGGCTCACAGCGGCCCTGCGCGCCCCCGTCTGCCCACCCACCCCGTGCTGGGTGCGCCTCGCCTGCCGTGCCCCGTGCCCTCGCCAGGAAAACACTGGGCGCTGGGGCTCCAGCTGCAGCTCGGGCTGGTTTGCCCAGCGGAGTGAGGCCCTTCAGTCCACAGCACCCGCCTCCCCGGGGGCCTCTCTCAGTGTCCCGTCTCCCGGGAGACGGGCTGGGGGAGGCCGCCGGGAGAGGAGCAGCGTTGTGGGTGCGTGCATGTGCGTGTGTGTGTGCGCGCGGTCCTCCAGCAACGTGCAAGCCTGAAGCGTGTGCAGTAAATACGCACTGTTGCCGCAGCGAGCACACGCCCTGTGGACGGCCCTCGTCCTGCAGCCCACCAGCCCCCCCCCCCCCCCGTAGGCAGACCACACCCGGTGTCCCGCTTCCCTCCGCAGTCGGGGACGCGGCCAGCTGCCGTCTCCCCGCAGACTGTCCGCATGCGCGGTCTTTCTCCCTGGGAACGCCGGCCAGGGGGTCCGCTGGGCAGGGCCGGCGAGGTCGAGGATCCCCGGCTTTGCCGGCACGCAGTGACGGGACGGCGAAGTGACCTCACTCTGCTTCTCGTCCTCGTCCCCTCTCCGGACCAGAACGAGAGGTACCTGCACCTGGGCGCGAAGCTGCTGGATGCGAAGGAGCAGGCGGCCGCCTTCAAGCTGGAGAAGAACAAGCAGGGGCAGCGGGAGGCCCAGGAGAGGATCAGGAAACTCCAGCGGGGTGAGCGCTGCTCCGTGTCGGCGTGCCCCTGCCTGCCCCTCGCCGGCCGGGCCGGGCCGGGCGGGGAGCCGTCTCCTCCGACCGTGTGCCTGCTCTGTCCTCCTGACACCGTGCCCGCACCAGGCCACGTGGTGACCGGGCCAGGTGCTGCGGGCCGCGCGGACGGTCACAGGTCTCCGCGCTGCTGTCGCAGCCAGTGCAGGCGGAGACCGTCTGCGGGTGCGTGGCCGTGTTCCCCTGGGACTTCACGTGTGGGCGCTGAAACGTGGCTTTCATACAGCCTTCACGTCAGCAACTGCATCTGCCTGTCTTCCCACCGAGTTGAAATCGTGGGACCCTCCTCGGCTCAGAGGCCGTGCGGAAGCAGGCCGCAGGGCTGCCCGGGGCCCACAGCCGCGCTCCGTGAGCCCCTGCTGTGCACGGCGGGGGGCGCCCACTCCACGCAGGGAGAGCAGAGCACCGCTGCGCCAGGGCTCCTTGCTGCCCCTGCCGGACGGTTCCCTTCGAAGAGCTTAGTGTGCGGGCGAACTTCAGTGCAGGTTTCTCGTGGGAGGCGTGGGGCAGTCGGTTACGGTGAAAAAGGCATTCTGTAGAACCATCTTTGCACACTAGAAGAGGCAAAGGCACAGAGCAGGCACGCAAAACTGAGCGCCGTGCTTCTCCTTGGTAGAGATGGAGGCTTTAGAAGAGCACCCCGTGTTCGATCCGGCCGTGAAGGTCTCACAGCGGCAGAGCGACCGGAAGAAGCCTCCAGCGGCCACAGGAGGGGAGAGCGCTTTGAACTTCAGTTTGTTTGAGAAGCCGCCAGCTGCTGCCGAAGGAGAGAAAGGTACGACGAGGGGGATGTGTTCCGGGTGTGACGTGCAACCAGTGAGACGTCCAGGACGGTACGATTAACCCTGCGTCACTTTGCACCCGCGCCACCCAGGTGAGGCGGGAGTGGGGCTCGCCTCCGCACGCCGACTCGGAGAAGGAGTAACGACAGTAACTCGCCCATGTAGCGGTCTGTCCTCCCAGTGTCCTGCTGCGGCCTCGTCCCTCCCCACTGCACCCCCGCCCTGGAGTTGTCTCTCCGCAGCAGAGCGGGGGTGGGTGAGCCCCTCTGAAAACACCCTGTAGCCACTGACACGTGTGGCCCGTGTGCCGTGCCGGCAGCCCCCGCGTGGCCAGCCGTGCCCTCCCTCACGGCTCACTGCACGTCTTGTCTCTCTGCGCGGGGGCAGCTGCAGGCCCCCCGCTCTGCCCACCCGTGCGGCCGCGCGGCTCTGGCCCAGCCCCGCCCCGCCTGTCGTTGCAGAGGGGAGGAAGGAAGCCCGTGACGTGCGGAACCTCGACTACACGGCCCGGAGCTGGACCGGAAAGTCCCCCAAGCAGTTCCTCATCGACTGGGTCAGGAAGAACCTTCCCAAGAGCCCAAACCCTTCCTTTGAGAAAGTTCCAGTAGGTCGGTACTGGAAATGCAGGTGTGTTTTTTTGGTTAACTGGAGGAGCTTCTAGAAAAATTGGAGATGGAAATCTCGTTTGTTTGTCGGGAGCTGGGGCGACACGGAGGAAGCGCTCTCGTCCCGCATCCTGGGGTGGTAGCACTCACAGGTCACGAAGTGCCTGTCTTCCAGGGAACGCTCCGTTGACATGACTGATGGGAACCGGGGCCCCAGTGAAGGGGGCTCTGGCCAGCCTCACGTTCCCGGTGTCGTTCCCGGTGTCTCGGCGCCCGCAGGGTGAGGGTGGTGAAGGCGGAGGACGACGTGCTGGTGGTGTGCCCCGCCATCCTGACGGAGGACGGCATGCAGGCCCAGCACCTGGCGGCCACGCTGGCGCTCTACCGGCTGGTGAAAGGGCAGGTGAGACCCTTGCCCCGCGCGCTTCGGCACCATCCGGGAGCGGCGGCGGCTCTGCGTGTCCTGTCTGCGCGGCGCCGTGTGCGCATGCGGGAGGCAGCGCACGCCGGCCGCAGCCTCTGCGCCAGCTCGCACCCTCCAGGCTGCCTCTCCCGATGGCCCCGTTTCTGTGTGATTCTGACGTCCCCCCAAGCAGGGCTTGGTCTCCCCCCCGCAGACACACACTGAGACCTGTGGCTGCCTCAGACTCTGGGGCCGCACTGGCTGCAGACTGAGATCATCGCTGTGCTGGGGAGGGGCAAGCGGGGTTTCCCTTAATGTTACACTGTCTCTCGGCGTTAGAAAACCGCGGGCGGGCGCTGGTTCTGGTCTCAGGTGAAGTTTCACTCACTAAGTTTCCTATTTAAGGGGAGATGGAGGGAAAGTGCTGCTGAGGGAGGGAGGCGCCTCGAGAGAGCTGGGTGCTCTGCGGGGGGGCCGCCCCGTTCCCGTGTCTGCGAGCAGTGGTGTCTCTCTCCGGGGGGGGCTGGAGCCACTGGCCCTGTCGGACGCCGTGCACGTGGGCTGCGGACAGTGTCTCCGCCCGGTTCCGCCAGTGCGAGCCCTTGATGTCTTCACCCCTCAGTCTGCACGCTGAGGCGTCACGGCCAACCTAACCCACAGCGGCGAGCCAGTGCTGCCGAGGGGTCTGGGCCCCGCCCCGGCCCAGACTCGGGTGCCGTCCCGCCATGCGGTGCGGCTGTCCGTGGCACGTGGACCCGCAGCCCGCACAGCGGCCAGCGTCTCGGGGGCTTTGCCTCGGACGTGTGCCGTGGGGCGCCTGCACCGCTCAGGCTGCGCCCTGGCTGGCCACGCAGACGAGACACGCCGCCCAGCAGCACAGCCCCCCGCCCCGTGTGCACTGGCCCGCAGTCCCCCCTCAGGGGCACGGGGTGGGGGAGGCCCTCGGCACCCCCACTTCCCTGAGGGAGAAACCGGGACGGGGGGGTAAGTCATTTGCCCAAGGCCGCACCACCGGCGAGTTTGGAAGCTGGAGTTTGGTGGGCTGCCGGTCGGTGTGCGTCACGCGCCTGTCCGTCTTGCGTTAGAAGGAGGCGCTGACTAGTGTAAGAGACAGGTGACGTGGGAGAGGGAGACAGCGTCCCTCTAAGTCCCCACCTGAGTTTGGTGTCCACGTCAGTGGGGTGACACAGTGCCGTTTCCCCTGTGCAGTCCGTCCACCAGTTACTCCCTCCGACCTACCGGGACGTCTGGCTGGAGTGGAGCGATGCGGAGAAGAAAAAGGAAGAGCTGAACAAGATGGAAACCAACAAGCCGCGCGACCTGTTCATCGCCAGACTCCTGAGCAGAGCGAAGCAGCGGCAGCAGCAGCAGCAGCAGCGGGGGCGGCAGGAGTCCGGGAACAAGAGAGAGGGCTCCGCGGACCCCGAGGGGTCCTGGGAAGACTTGGCTTCCGACGAGGACTTCTCGGCGCCGCCCCCGGGCCCGGAGCAGGCGGAGGACCTGGAGCCCGCCAGAGCGCTCTTCCGGAGGCTGCAGGGCACGCCCAAGTACCAGAGGCTGCTGCAGGAGCGGCGGCGGCTGCCCGTGTTCCGGCACCGGGACGCCATCGTGCAGGCGCTCGAGAGGCACCGGGTGGTGGTGGTGGCGGGCGACACGGGCAGCGGGAAGAGCACGCAGGTGCCGCACTTCCTGCTGGAGGACCTGCTCCTGGCGGGGCCGGGGGCCGGCAAGTGCAGCATCGTCTGCACGCAGCCCCGGCGCATCTCGGCGGTGAGCCTGGCCACCAGGGTGTGTGACGAGCTGGGCTGTGACGGTGGCCCCGGGGGAAGGGTAAGGCGGCCCCTGCTACCCGGGCCGGGGGGGGGGGGGCGGTGGCTTTGCTCGCCCCTTGCTCTCGGGGCCCGGACGGGAGTCGGGCCGTCACGGGTGGTGGGCTGGCACGTCTCCGGCACGTGCCACGTGCCGTGTGACAGACGTGCCGTGTGACAGACGCGCCGGGACGCCCCCGACCTTCACGTGGACAAGGTCGTTAGTCTGTCGTGGGAATTCTCACGTGAGGGAGAAGGTGTCCAGGTCAGTGGGTGACTAGTCAGACAGGTGTGTTACAGACTGAAGTGCACATTCGAAGACCACGGGCAGAGGCACACCTGACCCCAACAGCACGTGTCTGTCTCGAGTGTGTGCGAGTCTGCGCAGCGCAGCGCAGCCCCGGAGGGTTTCCTCTCACTCTTCCCCGTGAGCAGGAGGGCAGTCAGCGTGTGTGAGCGCCCGCTGTCGTGCGTTTGGCCACACAGCTGCCACGTCCACTGCCACACGCAGGTGCCCCCGACACGGGTCAGCCCCCGGGGCAGAGGCCGAGCCCCGTGGAGCCCAGCGTCGCTGCTCTTGGAGCCGCTCTCTCTAGAGACGGCGTCCAGCGGCTCCGGCTCTGTCTTCAAGGGGGCGCCCCGCCGTTAAGAACTGCTTGTGTAGCAAATCGCCTGGCCTCCTCCTGTGGGACGCAGGGGGAGAGAGGGCACTCTGTCTCGTGAGGAGCTCACATGCAGGCGGTGACGGCCAGGCACACGAAGACACGGGGGTGTCTGAGGAAGTCAGACGGGAAGCGCGGGAACCGAGGTCGGGGCTCCCTCGGGGTCCCCTGCGCGGTGCGGGCCGCTGCCCTTCCCGGAGGCGGCGTCGGTGACCCCAGCAGGGGCGCAGGCCGTGTGCAGGGGCCGCCTGGACCCTGCTCCGGCGCCACTCAGCCCGCAGCCCCGGTCACTTTCCGCTGCCCCGGCGCTCTGCCCAGCAGCGGGGCCAGCCCTGTGCACACACACCATCCCCGCGCCCCACTGCCCCCCCCGTGCAGCCCCCAGGCCCCGTGCCAGAGCCTCACCTTGCCCTGTCGTGTCCCCCCCCCAGGATTCGCTGTGTGGGTACCAGATCCGGATGGAGTCCCGGGCCAGCGAGGCCACCCGGCTGCTCTACTGCACCACGGGGGTTCTGCTGCGGAAGCTCCAGGAGGACGGCCTGCTGAGCAGCGTGTCGCACGTCATCGTGGACGAGGTGAGCCGGGCGCTCGGCGTCAGCCGGCACCCCTCTGTGCTCGCCGCGCCAGACACCGCCGTGGTCCCTCCACTCTCTCCGGTGGGCGGGGCTGGGGGCTACTCTGGTGAATACGAGACACCCTGTGCCAGGCGCCAGGTGCCAGGTGCCGGGTGCCGCTCTCCAGACTTCCCGCATAGCAGCCCCATCGCTCCCCAGCAGCCCCAGGCGCAGGGCTCCGCCCCTGGGTCACCACCGCTCGGGGGCCAGGGCAGAGGTCAGATGGCGGGGCCGGGCCGCGCGGCCAGCTGGCTCCACACTGGCTCCCAGGCCACGCTGGGCCAGCGTCTGCACCCGGCCCGCACACTCACCGCCGCCGCAGTGCGCGCGGAGGGCAGAGGGTTTCCTCGGTTCCGACAGGAACCCGGACTCCTTCGTCCGCGTGTCACTGTCCCCGGAGACACCCGCCCGCACCGGGCTCAGTGCCCGCTGGCGCTGGGTGGTGCCGGAAGCCCCGCCCGGGGCTGCTTCAAACGGCCTGGGGTGTGGGCGCTCCTCCAGGAGAAACGCTGAGTCCAGCATTTCTGTCCCAAAAACATCTTTAAAATCTTCTCTGACGTAAAACTTTTGTGAATGTACGTTCATTCGCTGAGTTCAAAGGCAGTGGTGAAAGCTCCATTACTCGTTGATTTTTAATTAATACACTAATATTGGTTATTGGGTTACTTTCCTCCTTTTGGTTAGAAAACACTAGAAGTGTAGACAAACACAAAAGTGAAAGTAAAAATTACAATCTCACGATCTAGAAAAGACCGCTGTTGACATTCAACTGGCATGTTTTTACGTGTGTATATCGTACAGTTCTTCACGTCACTAGTCCGCAAAAGCATGGTTTTTAGTAGCTTCATGGCGCATACTCTGGGCGCCCCATGCTGTCTAACCGTTTTCCCGTTGCCGGACGAGTGGAGGAGGCCCAGGTGTCTGCTAGTGACCTAGCAGTCTGGTCGCAGGTAGGCGGCAGGAGACCGTCTTCACTCAGGAGCCTGTTCTCCCCGGGGGAGAAACCGCCGCCCTCACGCAGGGCGGGAAGGGAGGGGCGTGGGCTGCGGTCACAGCCCCGCTGTGCGCGGCCGAGACCCAGACCCAGACCGCGTCCGAGTCCTCAGGACCCGCGGGGGCCGAGTGCTGCTCTGTCTGTTCACGGTGAGACACTTGTACCCCTGGGCGGGGTGGAATGTTTGTGCTGGCTACTCGGTAGACCTCCGGGACGCCCCAGTGCCCCAGAAACATGCGTGGTGCGTGTGTGTCAGAGGGGACCCCGGTGGAACAGCCAGAGCGAGCTCAGGAAGCCGTTTCCGACGGTGCGGGGTCGGCAGCCTGCGGACCCGGCCCCTCCCCCGAGGGACACGGCGGGAGCGAGAGGAGGGCCCCCGCGGTGGTCGCGGCGTCACGTCTGAGGGTGCACGCGGTGCTGCGGCCCAGCCCGCCGCAGAGGAGGCTCCCGTGTGAGGGGGGTGCAGCATGCCGGGGGCGGCGCTCCGGGACGGCCGGGGTGCTGGGGGTGGCCGTGGCTTTGCTGAGTTCACGGTCCCTGCGGGAGCGGGGCCTCTTTCCCCGGGCTGCTGGCGTGCTCACACGCACCTGTCTGCCCGTCCCTCCCCACGGCGCTGAGCAGGAAAGTGCAGGTTTGTGCGGGCCCTGCCTTGCGTTCTAGCCTCCTCTCTCTCTCTCTCTCTCTCTCCCTCTAAATCAGCGTGTGTATTAAGTTCCATCCGTCGATGGTATTCCCCAGATTTGTTTTATCCGTTAGGAAGTCTCTTTCTTGACCTTTAGACACAGGTGTCCTGCTCAAACCACAGAGGAAAACCACCCAAGGTTCTTGCTTTTTCTTCCTCCCACGTCTGCATCAGGGGTGTCTACCCTGCAGCCCAACACAAGATCGTAGCTTACTTAAAACGTTGTGAGATGTTTTGTGTGTGGCTACACGTTGCGATGTATCTAATGTGCAGCCCGAGACGGTTCTTCCAGCATGGGCCAGAGACGCCAACAGGGTGGCCAGCCCTGCTGAGACCCCTGGGCCCGTTGGGCCCCCTTGCCTCAGACTCCCTCACCGGGACTGCCCTCCCGTGGGCCACCGTTGTCTCTGCAGTCACTGCACGGGCCTCTGGCTCAACGTCCTGCGCTCTGTGGCGCTGTCCTCCACGGCGGCCTCTGCCCTGGAGCCCGAGTGTCCTTTCAAAACGTAACTCTGGGACCAGCTCCCCTGCAGCGGAGTGCACTCAGCGCTCAGGGTGCGGTCAGCCCCTCCCCAGCGCTCCCGGCCTCGCCAGGGCCTGTTCCCATGCGAGCCCGTTCCCCACGGCTCCCTGACCCCTGCCCGCCACCGTGATCTGGCACAGCCTGGGCTCCGCGACCACTTTCCCCTCCTCATCCCGTTCCCTCCTCCTTGTTCTGAAAGTCTCCTTCGGTTCTCAGCGCCATGGCGGTTCCTCCGGCGGCCTCCTCAGCCCCTGCGTGTGTGACCCCCCACCACCCGGGGCGGGGTCCTCGGCCCGGACGGGCACTGGCACCGACAGGGCTGCGGGCGTTGTGGCCCCAGCGGGGAGCCCGGCGCCCACGCTCCCTGCTCACCGGGCTCCGTCACGGGGCTCTGCTGGGCCCCACGGGGTTGTCACGGCCACCTAGGAAGTCGTCGCCCCTCTGTGCTCTCATCTCTCGGGGGCAGAAACACACCCAGTTTCCTCAGGCCACGCCGCTCCCAAGCGACCGATCCCAGAGCCCCAGCGCTCACCCACCGTCCCCGTCACCGCCCTTCCAGCCAGGCCTGCGAGCAACCTGCTTTCTCCCACAGCTCTGATGCGCTTTGGCGCTGTGAGCGGCCTCCAGGCCCGCACGGTGGGGCGGAGACGGCTGGGCGGGGCGCAGGCAGGTGGGCCGGGCAGAGGGTTCTGGAGAGGGCCCGCTCTGGACACACTGCTCCCCCCTCCCCCCCTTCCTCCCTCCCTCCGTGTGCACGTGTGCTCGAGAGTAGAGTCTCGGTCAGCTTCCCACGTGCGTGTCGGACCGTTTCAGCCTTCCCCCGGGCCCTGGGTGTGCCGGAGGCTCACACTCCCGGTTCCCCAGGTTCACGAGAGGAGCGTGCAGTCGGACTTCCTGCTGGTCATCCTGAAGGAGATCCTGCAGAAGCGCTCCGACCTGCACCTGGTCCTGATGAGCGCCACCGTGGACAGCGACAAGTTCTCTACGTACTTCACCCACTGCCCCGTGCTCAGGATCTCAGGGAGGAGTTACCCCGTGGAGGTGCGCGCTCCCACGGCACCTGTGTGCCCCCCCCCCGGGAGCAGCCCCCGCAGGGGCCCGAGGGCGGGGTGGGAGGGACAGAAGCGTGTTCCCGGTGGGTGTGCAAGGCCACAGAGAGGGCCTCGGGGGCCTGGGAGGCAGCGCCGCAGCCCTGGCTCAGGGAGAGTTCCTCTGAGCCCCCCGGGGACGGACTCGCCCCCACCAGCAAGGCTGTGCGTGCTCAGATAGTGCAGACAGAGCATCTTAAGTTCGCACTTGGTGACATTTGACAGTTCAGAACCCCCTTGTTCTCTTTAAAACGGCATTTACCGGTGTGAATGTGAGTTCACCACGTGCACGCTCTATTCTGTGCAGGTTTTCCATCTGGAAGATATAATAGAAGAGACGGGTTTTGTACTGGAGAAGGACTCAGAATACTGCCAGAAGTACCTGGAGGAGGAGGAGGAAATAACCATTCACGTTACCGGCAAAGCAGGGGCAACGCAGAAGTACCAGGTGAGAGGAAAACCTCTGACGGGCGTCTGCCTGATGGCGCTCCCCAGGGCCGAGCTGCCGTGGGTTTGGAAGCCGCGCTGGCGCCCTGAACGTGCGTGCGGTGGGTAGGAGAGGGGCGGGCGTGACGAAGGGCCTTTAAAGGTCGGCCCGGGCTCGGACGGCTTGAGTCCCTGACCGCCCGGGCCGCAGAGGTGCGCGTCTGGAACCGAGGGCCAGAGGGGGGAGGTGGGGGGGTGAGCGCTGCTCCACAGCAGCGTTGGTGGTCGGTGGGTGAGGAGTCGGTGAGCGAGGACCCCTCGGCGTCACCTGGGCTCCTGCAGTGTGAGGACCCCCTCTGTGTCACCTGGCCCCCCCGGCAGGAGGTCAGGACACGGCAGGTGCCAGCGCCCGGCCAGCGGCTCCTCGCATCCTCTGCCTGCCGTGCACCCGCCTCGGCTCCGCAGTGGAGCTGCCGGAGCGCCCGTCTCCAGCGTGTTTTCGGCAAGGGCACCGAGCTGTGTTGTCCCATGTTTCAGCCGGCGGCCCCGTGCCCAGCGCTCTCCTTGTTGCATCCACGATTCTCCCTTTCCCACACGGGTCCAGGCTGAGGGGGCCCACGGGTGCTCGGTCCTCTGAGCCGGCGGGTGGGCCGGGAGGGCAGAGCACCGGGGTCCGTCCTGACCTTCAGAGACAGAGGTCAGAAGCTGCAGAGAGACCTCAGAAAACCAGAGGCGTCCCAGAGGGGCGACTGGAACGCAGCCACCAGGGAGACCCGGGCGGAGGGGCAGGGTGCACCGCTGAGACGGCAGCAGTGCCGCCCCGGCCGACTGCCCTCCAGCTGCCGCAGCGCACGCAGGGACTGTCCTCCCGTGCTCGGACCTCGCACGTCCGTCCGTCTGTCTGTGCCGGAGGAGAGCCCCGTCGTGCCTGGGGGCGGGGTGGAGCTGAGCTACAGGGGAGAGGTGGACCTCCGTTCTGCTTCCCGCTGCTGCAAAGCCACGACGTAGTATTCTTGCTGTTTTGACGAAGTGATGATGGCGACGATGAGAACCTCCCCCTCCTTTGTCTGACGGAAGCACTTCCTGTTGTTTCCTTCCCTCTCCGGCGGCGGCGCCGGTGTCAGGAGTACCTCCCGGCCCGGACAGGGGCGGGGGCGGGCTTGGACTCCCGGTACCAGCAGTACAGCGGCCGCACGCAGCACGCGCTTCTGCACATGAACCCCCAGAAGGTCAACCTGGACCTGGTCGCGGAGCTCCTCGCGTTCTTAGGTGCGCGCCGGCCTCCGGCGGGGCCCCTCCGCGCTGACTGACGGGGCTGCCTGCCCGTGGGGGGTGTTCGGTGCTGCCTCCCGCGCCCCCCTTGTCCGTGCGCTCCTGTCGGGCAGCACGTCCTTTCTGAACCTGCAGACAGGAGCCCCCGGTTCCGGAGCACCGAAGGGGCAGTGCTGGTCTTCCTGCCCGGCCTCGCCCACATCCAGCAGCTGTATGACCTCCTGCTGACAGACCGAAGGTTTTCCTCCGAGCGGTAACTACACATCGTCTCGCGTTCCTGGTGGTTGGGAAGCAGAAAACGGCTTCGTGCATGAAAACTCTTAAAGAAAGATGTTATTTATTTATCTTTAGAGAGAGGGGAGGGGAGGGAGAAAGAGAAGAGAAACGTCAATGTGTGGTTGCCTCTCACACGCCCCCTACTGGGGACCTGGCCCGCAACCCGGGCCTGTGCCCTGACTGGGAATCGAACCGGCGACCCTTTGGTTCGCAGGCCAGTGCTCAAACCACTGAGCCATGTCAGCTGGGGCTGTTGTGCTTCCTTCCTGTGGGTGAGAGCAGGGTGGTGACCCCCCAGCCCGCTGCGTGCACAAACGCACGCCCAGCGAGCGGGCGGCGCGCCTGCCCCGTGCTTCGTCACGGCGAGCACACGGCTGCCGTGGTGCCTCTCCCGCCGCCGACGCCGGGACGCCCTGCAGCCCTGTGCCCCCTCCCGTCCACGGGCTCGTGCCCGTCGGACCTCCCGCTCTTGGATGACACGTGGGGGGTCCACTGCACCCTTGTCAGAACTTCCGTGTGTGTTTAAAGCTTCTCACGATAGAAAGTGTTCAAGTTGCTTCCTGTCTGCAAATGCGTTTTGTCATTCTTTGCAGTGTCTTCCCAAGAGAAACGCTTGCTAAGAAGTGTGGTTTTAACTTTCAGGTACAAGGTGATAGCTCTGCATTCCATCCTTTCCACCCAAGACCAAGCCGCGGCGTTCACGCTCCCGCCTCCAGGGGTCAGGAAGGTGAAGTTCCGTGGGGCCCGGGGGTGTGGGGCCCGGGGGTGTGGGGCCCGGGGAGAAGGTCTGCAGAGGGGGTGGCGGGGGGGGGGGGCGCCGGGACTGGCCCTCGGAGGCGGCTGCCGGTGCAAGTGCCTCCGCGAGGGCAGAGGCGAGCCCAGCGCTGGGTGAAAGCGTCTGGTCCCTGACGTGTCACCAGAGGGACGGGCTTTTCGGAGGCATGCCGGGTGGAAGTGCGTCCTGGACGTTGCTTGTGAGGAGGAGAAGGCCGGTCACAGCCGGCCCCAGGCAGGCACCGTGAGGGACGCTGGGGGCCGGGAGCTGCCAGCCGGGAGCTGCCGGCATCCAGGCAGAGAGAGTTCTTTGTTTTCCAGGCTGTTCGCCTTATCCTCCCCTGCCCCCCCCCCGTTTTTGTTTTGCTTTGCCTTTGTAACGGTAGTACACAGAGCATTAGTTTGGGGGGATCGCAGCACTCTCATTGTGTCCTCTATTCGGGATCCTGAGGGAAGAGTTTGTTGCCAAAGAGAGTGTCTCTGGGTTTGAACCTCTGCCAGAGAGGGGGAGGTGGCACGGAGCAGGAGCCTTGGGGACGCAGAGCGCCCAGACGGAGCAGGAGCTCTCCTGCGGGGCCTGGTCCACGTCCGAGCGGCTGCCCATCTGTGGCCCCGGGCAGCCCGGCCCACCCCGGTCCTCCTGTCTCAGGGGCGCAGCCCAGGGCCCCGAGCTCTCGGCGCACAGCTAGAAAACCGCTGCTCGGGCGGCCCCTCGGCCGTCTCCCACCCTGCCCGGGCGTTGTCAGGGGGCCTGGCTGGAGTCAGGGAACGGTCCTTTCATCGGAATAAAAGTTTGTGACTTTAATTAGCAAGCTGAGGTGACGAGACTAATTAGAACAAATTGAAGTAACACAGCAATAACAAGTAGATTGTGAATTTTTGTGAACATTGAAATTCACCTTTTTTAATCCTCCCCCGAGGACACTGAGTTTGGAGGAGGGGAGAGACGGTGGGGAGAGGAACACCAGAGTGCGAGAGAAGCTTCCGCTGGTTGCCTTTTGGACGTGCCCCGACTGGGGGCCCAACCTGCAGCCAGGCCCCAAGTTCGCGCTTTAGACGCACCGGCTCGAGCTCGGTGAGGGGGTGTCCGTGGCGGCGTGCTGCCGGAGGCCACGCCCTAAACGTCGTGACTTCTTCTCCAGGTTGTTCTGGCCACGAACATCGCGGAGACCGGCATCACCATTCCAGACGTCGTGTTCGTGGTCGACACGGGCAGGACAAAGGAAAATAAGTGAGTTGACTTTCCCAGGTCAAAGCGTTTTTGTCCGGACAAGCACGTGGGGCTCTAGAATTCCTAGGGAAGGTCACAGACTTGTGGAGGGACATTTTCAGCTACCCCAACTCCGCCCAGAGCGAAACTGCAGGAAATGCGAGACGCGAAGCTTCACAGGGCCGGTCTCCCGCAGCAGCCGGCGTGCTGCCGCTTCCAGAGAAGCGTGCTCCGGGAAAGGTTTCAGGACAGAACTTCCTGTCAGTCTGTCGGCTTGTGAAGCAAAGTGTTTGGCAGAAGCGTTCTCTCAGGATCATAAAAACTGGTCTGGGTTTTGGAACTACAGTTAGATCTGAATCTTCGGTCTACAAGCTTAGGCAAGCACCGCAGCGTCGCCGTAGGCTGTGAGCACGGGTCTCCCACACGGAGACGAGGAAGGCGAGCATTTCACGACGGGAAGTGCCTGCCCGGTGCCCTGACCCGCACGGCGGGTCCGCTGGGCCGAGCCTCCGCCCAGGAGGTCGTGCTCCTGCAGCTGTTTGCGGGTCCGTGCTGCGCAATCAGCGGGGGCTGCCGCGGCCGTCTGCCGTCGTCCGCACGCACCGCCCCGAGCGTCGCGGGGCCGGGGCACCGTCTGCGGGGAGCGCAGGTGCCCAGCACAGGGCGGACCCCGGGCTTCCAGCAACGCGCCTTCGGAGGAGGCGTGCTCGGGGTGTCGCTGCGTCCCGTGGCGAGCGGGGCGAGCGATGGCGGCCACGGTGGCACTTCTCAGAACTCCGGGAGTCCCCGTGGCAGGGCCGCTAGGCGTCCCACCGAGATCAGAGAGGGGCCCGGGTCAGACGGACGCGGGCAGGCTAGGGGAAACAGGTCTCCCCTCGTGCCGGAGCTGTCAGCTCGGCAGCGTGAGAGTCCGTGTGCGGGCCTTGCCGAATGACGTAAGTGTCAGCCGCGGTTTGGAAGACACCGCTCCACAACGATGGGGCCTTTTTCGTTCGTCTTCAACGCGACTTCAGGAGTCAGGTGGGCCAGCGTCTCTGGAGTCTGACTTAAGTCGGTGGCCACACGCATTTCTCGCTCCCCTGTCTCCGCAGGTACCACGAGAGCAGTCAGATGAGCTCCTTGGTGGAGACGTTCGTCAGCAAGGCGAGCGCCCTGCAGCGCCAGGGCCGGGCCGGGCGGGTCCGCGACGGGGTCTGCTTCCGCATGTACACGAGGGAGAGGTACGGCCGGGGCCTCGCGTGGGGACCGCGGTCGGTGCCGCGTGGCGGCCGACGGTTCCCAGTGACGTGCGCTGCCGTTTGGTTTTCCAGGTTTGAAGGCTTCCTGGACTACTCTGTCCCCGAAATCCTGCGTGTGCCGCTGGAGGAGTTGTGTCTTCACATCATGGTAACCCCTCTGGAACTCACGGGAACTTGTTATTCTTCTCCCCTTCCTACTTTCCTTACCTCGTATTGCCCCAGACGTTCAAGCCCTTGTACGGAGCCACTGTAAATAAGTGCCCCCCCACCCCACCCCACTGTGCTGTGGTCCCGGCCCCGGCTCCCGCCCTCACAGGGCAGAACGCAGCCTCACACCCCACACGGGCCGTTCTCAGCCGGGGGTGTCACTACTCACCGGGACAGGTGGCTCTGTCTGTGGGGAGGAGGGAGGCCCTGCTGGGGGCATCCTGTGGGTGGGGTCAGAGGGGCAGCTAAACCTGGTGCGGTGCCCCGCACAGCCCCCCAGACATCAGGCATGTGGCCCCCGGAAACCACCGAGCTGACACCGGGACAGCCTGACCCACCCGGGGGCTTCCCCCGGGAAGGAAGCAGAGGCAGCCCCCGCCGGCCTTCCCCGCGGAGCGGAGCGGAGCGGAGCGCGCTGACTCGGCCGCCCCTGCCCCCTGCAGAAGTGCAGCCTTGGCCCCCCCGAGGACTTCCTCTCCAAGGCCCTGGACCCTCCGCAGCCTCAGGTGATCAGCAGCGCGATGCACCTGCTCCGGAGGATCGGCGCCTGCGAGCCGAGCGAGCCGAGGCTGACCCCCCTGGGCCAGCACCTCGCGGCGCTGCCCGTGAACGTCAAGATCGGCAAGATGCTCATCTTCGGGGCCGTATTCGGCTGCCTGGACCCCGTGGTAAGAGAGGGCGCTGCCGCCGCCCACTTGGCATTGCACTTTGGTGGAGCAGTCACCCTGAACCTCTCGTTCGGTTCCCTGACTAGACAGGGCGCGCTGACAGTGAAACGCGGGGGGTCTGAACGCTGAGTGGGAGGTTTGAGGGTTTAACGCTACACGCAGGGAAGCACATCCGTGCACTCGCGCAGGCTGCGGGTGCTGCTGTTACTACGTGCGAGGGCTCGGCTCGGCTCGCCTTGCTGCGGAACGTCCGCTCGCAGTGTTGGTTTAGCTGCACGTGGGGTAGACCGGGGGTTCTCAACCTCCTCCTCCTGGCACACACAGACTAGTCACTAACATTCTGCGTCACGCCCAGAACTGCACTGTTGCGACCTGACCAAAAGCAGATGGAATTGCGACTCATTTGCCCAGGACGGCTGTCGTGTTGGTTGTGGTCGTCTTTTGGGTGGCGGTTAGTGGGGGGGGGCCGGGGCCCGGACCGGACGCCCGGGTGCTGCGTGCTGTGCCCGCGCTCGAGGGCCCCCCCCCCCACCAGGCGAACACCGCCGCCTTGGGGGGGCCGTTCTCCGGCAGCTCGGAGCCCGCGGGCTCCGCTGTGCGGGGCCACACACGCTGTGACTCCCGCTTTCCCAGGTCAGGTCCCTGTGCTGGAATTCACCCGAGTGCTCCGACTGCAGAGTTAGAGTTCCCAGGGGCCGGCAAGGACCAGCCGTCCGTTCCTCGCAGCATCTCGGATGCAGCGTCTCGGACGCAGCAGGTGCTGTGCCTCTGCCGGACTCCGCGGGCCCCCCGGCAGCTGGGCCCCCCGGCAGCTGGCCCCACGGCAGCTTTCGGGCATCCCCACGCCGTGGCCTTGCCCGGGACGGCCGGTCGAGGCCGTGACAGAGCAGGACAGGGGAGTGCGCCTCTCTCGAGTCTCCTCTTCTTTAGCATTAGAGACAGACAGACACTTGCCAGAGTCACGTCGAGTGCAGAGAGTGGGCTCTGCCTTGGCAGCCGGTCTGAGAAGCTGCTGTCACGGCGCGGGTGGTCAGGAGAGGCCGTCAGCGACACGGACGGGGAGCCCACCCAGTGGGAGGACGGATTCGCCAGTGAAACCACAGACACGGGAGTAACCTCCGAAATATATGAAGAACTTGTGCAACTCAACACCGGGAAGACAACCAACCCAGTTAAAGAAACGGGCAAAGGACCTGAATAGACACGTCTCCAAAGAGGATGTACAGACGGCCAGTGGACATACGAAAGGTGCTCACTAGCCATCGGAGAGATGCAGATTAAAACCAGTGAGATACCACTTCACACCGGTCAGAATGGCCATCGTAAACAAATCAAGCGCTGGCGAGGATGTGGAGAAAGGGGACCCTCGTGCACTGCCGGTGGGATGCAGACTGGGGCAGCCGCTGTGGAAAGCGGTGTGGAGATTCCTGAGAACACTAAACATGGATCTGCCCTTTGACCCAGCGATTCCACTGCTGGGTCATGCCCTAGGAACCCTGAAACCCCAGTCCGAAAGAACCCCTGCACCCCGGTGTTCACGGCAGCATGACTTACACCAGCCAGGGGCTGGAAGCAGCCCAGGTGCCTGTCCCCAGAGGAGCGGGCGTAAGAGCTGCGGGCGCTCACACGGTGGGGTGCTGCGCAGCGGAGGGTGGGGCGCCTGCCTTTCCCGGCGGCGGGGACGGGCCTGGGAGCCCTGTGCCGAGGGAAATGAGAGGAAGACAAGCACCACACGGTGTCACTTCTGGGTACAACCTGATGACCAGAACACACGGACAAAACAGAAACAGAAACAGAAACAGGCGAGGACACGGGGAACAGGCTGACAGCTGTCAGACTGCAGCGGGGGGGCGGGGGACAGGACGGAAGAGGGTGCGTGACCCACGGACACGGACCACGGTGTGGGGGTGGCCAGAGGGAAGGGGGAGGGGGATGGGTGGAGGGGGGCAGAGGGGGGGATGGGAACATCTACAACAGCACCAACGATGAAAGTGTAGTTGTTTCTAAAGCGCAGCATGGCGCCCTGGCTGATGCGGCTCGGTGGACTGCCCGAGGGCCTGTGAACCAAGGGGTCGCTGGTTCGATTCCCAGTCAGGGCACATGCTCTCGCCCGTCCTGCGGTCAAGAGCGTTGCCGGCAGCGGGGGTTGGGCGGGGGGTCGCGAGGTTGGAGTGAGGACGCGGGGACAGACCCGTGGTCACTCCCTCAGTCCCGTTTGTCTCCGGCTCCAGGGCCGCTACGCTCTGTCTCACCGACACGGTGTGAGGACAGAGTGGCGCATTTCTGAAGCCCCTACCTAACGCGAGGCTGCAGGTCGCGAGTTGGAGCGCAAGTGCGCGCTTGCTCTCGCACGGCGAGCGTGGGGCTGCGGGAGGAAGCGGCGCGCCCTCTGACCACGGCCCCCGGGGTTCCCTGCGCAGGCGACGCTCGCGGCGGTCATGACGGAGAAGTCGCCCTTCACCACCCCGATCGGGCGGAAAGAGGAGGCGGACCTGGCCAAGGCGGCGCTGGCCGTGGCGGACTCGGACCACCTGACCATCTACAGGGCGTACCTGGGGTGAGCGAGGGCCTGCGGGTCCGGGCGGCTCGCTCCGGAGCCGCGAGCGTGTGGTCGACTTGCACGGGGAGACCTCAGTTCGAGACTGAGACGTGAACCAGTTCCGAGTTACGTCGTCTTTCGAGGCACAGTTAACTGCCCCGCAGACGCGTGGTTCTGCGCCACTTTCTGAAGTTCGAGAGCAGCGCCCTCGCGTGTGGGGTGGGCGCCCCGTGACGCTGACTCGCTGAGGCTGTGCGCTGGGGCTGAGCTCGTAAACACAGCCGGGAGCCCCCGCCCGCAGGCCACCCCCTTTTTACGTGGGGGGGACTCGGGGGTCTCCGAGGAGGGGGTCTGCCCGGGGAGCCGGCGGGCGGGACTGGCGTCACCGTGGTCGTCCCGTCTCTGCAGGTGGAAGAGCGCACGGCAGGAGGGCGGCTACCGCTCCGAGGTGGCGTACTGCCGCCGGCACTTCCTCAGCCGCACCGCCCTGCTGACGCTGGAGGTGAGTGTGGGGTGGGGGGGGGGACACAGCCTCCTGACTCTGGGCTCAGCCGCGTGGGCGGGTCTCGGGTGGGTGCTGGGCCCTCCCCGTCCCCAGCAGTTCCCGCCACGAGGCGACCCCAAGCAGTCCCACAGGTGGTCCGTGAACGCTGTTTTCTGTGAAATCACGACGACCCTGGCGACTGAAATGTGTCTGATGGGTTCCCGTCCTCTGTGGCTACTTTTTGATCCCCAAACTGTCGCCTCTGGACAGCGGGAGCCGCTTTGGGTCCCCGAGCCCTCCCCACACGGCCCGAGCAGTCTGGCGCTGCCCTGTTCTGGGAGCGACCGCCCGCCCGCGCCGGCTGCCTTGGCGTCTCGTGCTCCAGGCCTGGAACCCGTCACTGTTCTAAGGGTGCTGATTCCTTCTGAGGGGCTTCTGTTGCACCCCCAGACGTCAGCCAGCGGCTTCGCTGCAGTGTGGGACGGGAGCCTGGAGAGGCATCGGGGCGTCGTGCCCCCGCGGCTGGCCGGGACCAGGCTTGTAACCCTGCCCCCAGGCAGGCAGGGGGGCCGGTGACTCATCCTCCCCTCCGGCTTTGGCCGCGCCCGGGACCAGACTCCCCGCCGAGGACGGGGTCGGAGGGGAGTCAGAGCGGAGAGACAGTGCTGGGAGAGCCCGGCTCCTGTGCCGACCGGCGTCCCGTGGTTCTTAGTGCTGGGGCGCGTGTCGCGTGCGGCCGGTGTCCAGTGAGGCTGGGCGACGCGAGGGCTCTGTCCCCCATGGGCCCTCTTCCTGTGCTCACGTTCCGAACGGTTAAACAGATTTCCCGTATAATCCGGCCCATTCCTTCCTGTGACCTGGGGTCCCTGCCGGGACGACAGCAGGGGCTTCTCCAGGGGGACAGACCTCGTCCTCCCCGAAGCAGGCGGAGGGGCGAACTGAAGAGAAGCCCCCCTGGGCCGCTGGCTGGGACCCCACTGCAGTGCCCCCCGCACACCTTTGCCGCCCCCCCCCAGGCGCCGCCCCCTCCTTCCCAGAGCCTGTCCTCGCCTCCCTGGGCTGCGCCGCCAGGGAGTCGGTGTCTCCCCAGCCCTGGGGCGCGGCCGCAGCTGCCTGGTGGTCTTCCTTGCCCCGGAACCCACGTGCCCTGAGCCCCCGACCAGACGCCCAAGGGAAACCCCGAATGTGAACGTCACCCAGTAATCACTTGTGTCCTGTTGGCTGTGAGGAATGCTCGTCCTTCCTGTAGAGTCCTAGCTGATGGGCACTACGGGAAGCAGAAAAGGGGTTTAGGCGACTGTTTGTTTGTTTGTTTGACTCAGTGTGTGGGGTGACACTGGTTAATGGGGCCGCGGGGGTATCACGTTCTGTGACACCTCAGACGTGCACTGCACTGAGCGCCCCCCACCCCAGAGTCAGCTCCTCGTCCATCGCCACACACTGGCCCCCTCCTGACCTGGGCAGCAGGTCAGGGTATGTGAAGTTGCCGTCAGCCAACTCTCTCCAAGTTGCGTGGAAAATCCAGGCGGGGCCCCCAGACCTGTGAAGACGGCCCTGGCGGTCTCAGCGGGTCCCTCCATCCCCCCACCAGCTCTGCTCTGTGGGCGGCCCGCTGCTCGGCCGGAGGGAGCTGCGGGGGCAGCTGCCGCCGCAGGGACGCAGGGAGCGTGCTGAGGGACCGTGTGCGCGGCCACCTTCTCGCCGCTCCCCCACTGCAGACAGCCGCGGGTTCCTGACACCTGGAGTGCCGGGTGGCGGACACGGGTGACTCCTTAGTCCCTGGCCTTCCCGGTCTTTCTGCTCCGATTTAACCTGCGCTGCGGTGACGTGGATGACCCCCTGGCACCTTCCCGTTTTGGCAGGAAACGGTGATGGAAGGTGCGAGGCCGTCGGGCAGTCTCTCTCTCTCCTGATCAGTTGCGGCCTCGTCTCTCTCTCCCTCCCCGCCCCCCCCAGGACGTAAAGCAGGAGCTGATGAAGTTGGTGAGGGCGGCGGGGTTCTCACCTCCCGCCCCTGCTGGCAGCTGGGACGGCCGCAGGGCCGGCCAGGCCCTCTCCTTCCAAGAGATCGCCCTCCTGAAAGCTGTCCTGGCCGCCGGGCTCTACGACAACGTGGGGCGGATCATCTGCGCGAAGTCAGTCGATGTCACGGAGAGACTGGCCTGCGTCGTGGAGACCGCCCAAGGCAAAGCGCAGGTGCACCCGTCCTCGGTGAACCGGGCCCTGCAGACGCACGGCTGGCTCCTGTACCAGGAGAAGGTGAGGCGCCTCTCCCACCCCCACCCCCAGCGCTGGGGCGGGGTCCGGGAGCCGTCCGCACGCTGCGTCCTCACTCCTCACGCTGCGCCGGGCGGGGGTGGGCGTCCGGTTCTGGAATCGAGCGGCTCACTCCCGCTCACACTCGCGCTCGGGGCGCACGTAGTCTCTCGGTGGAAACAGTCCTCACTCGTCGAGGGAAGAAAAGGGCTCCGCGGTGGCCGTCGCCGCCGGCTGGACTCGAAGCAGAGGGAAGGCAGAGCGAGGTCGCCCAGGAGCGGGGACGTGTCGCTTCCCCGAGGTCTCACTGAGGCGCTGTCTCAGCGGGAAGGCCCTTACAGCTGCGTCCCCAGAGAAGGGGTCTGGGGAGACCCCCGAGTCATGGGGCGACGGTGCGAGTCGCCGGGTGACCCTGAGATGACGTCACACCGCACGTTCACGGTCACAGCTAGGACAGTCGCCCGCGTCAGCTGGTTAGGGTGGCAGGGGCCCACGATTTCCCGCCGTGTGTAAGTGTAAAACTTGGGAAGTTCCTGACCCACGGCCACGGCTGGACACTGGCTGGACTCCGCACCCGTGAACTCCAGCCTAGTGTTCCTCTGCGCTAACCACCTAACTGACAGCGCCTGCGGGGTGGAGGTGCGTGTCGGCAGGCTCACGGTGCTCACGGTGCGCGGCGGCTCGCGTGGAGAACAGCACGGTGGTCAATAAGTAGCGACACAGGAGCGGACTCCGTGCTTCGCGGCTGGCCACTGCAGACCCGCCTCTGCCCACGCCGCGTGGCCCAGCGTCCCGGCGGCGGGCCTTCCAAACGCCTTCGGAGAGCAGGAACCCTCGGGGCGGCGGGGGCGGCGGCGCACGCGCGGGGCTGTGCACGCGCGGGGCTGCAGAACTCAGGCCGCGGGTGCCGAGTCCCGGAGATGCGTGCGCGACCCCGGTGCCCGCGCTCGGTGCTTCCGCGTCCAAGCTGCGAAGGTCTGTTTTCCTGCCGTCCCCGCGCAGGTGCGGTACGCCAGGGTGTACCTGCGGGAGACCACCCTGATCTCCCCGTTCCCGGTGCTGCTCTTCGGCGGCGACATAGAGGTTCAGCACCGCGAGCGCCTGCTCTCCGTGGACGGATGGATCTACTTCCAGGTGCGCGCTCCCGCGGCGGCTCTTTCCGGCGGGGCTGGCGCTCCACTCCCAGTGCCGCTGGGGGAGGCTCCCGGGAGCGTCTCGGCATTTGTGTGGCCTCCCCTGTAATTTGGCGGAAAGCAGACTACTGTGTCTCGCCTGCGTGGTCTTGAGTCTGCTGCACTGGAAAGTCCAGCGGCACTGCCGTAGAGACCACCTCGCCTCCGGTGCCCGTGGTGACTCCTTCCTGGAGGGGTGGGGCGCGCGGGCGCCGTGAGAAGCGGCTCTCGTGGGCCGCACCAGTGCTCCCGGCAGAGCAAGGTTTTTAACGCTGGGACGGCCTGGCCCTCGCACCCACCCTCCGTCCACGCCTGCCTGGTGTCGGCACCGCTGGGGGAGCGGAGTGGGCTCCGCCACCCGCCGGGAGGCCCTCCCCCTCCCCTGCCAGCCCACCCGCCCCCGCCGGCCGGGGCGCCCCGAGCACGCCTGACCCGGGGAGCGCCGGGGCGGCTGTGTGTGTGTCGGGGGGGGGGGTGGGCGGCGAAGACGTCTCCCCTGCGGTCCCCAGGGAGCTGAGGGGGCGGCGCCGTCCTGTGCTCAACTCTCTCGACTCCCTGCGGACCGCTGCGTGGTGCGCTTACGGTGAATGCCTTCTCACGGGTGTGAGTGGTGCCTCGGGGATGCAGTCTTCAAATGCGTGGTCCCGTCTGCGGACTCGCAGTGGGGACATGGGGGCTGGCGCAGCTCGGCTCCGGGCGGGAGCTTGCCCGCGTCCTCCCCCCGCAGTGCCCCGCGCCGCAGCCGAGGTGCGCGGGCCTGGGTCCCCCCACCGCCCTCCTCTCCCCGCAGGCCCCCGTGAAGATTGCCGTCATTTTCAAGCAGCTCCGGGTGCTCATCGATTCTGTCCTCAGGAAGAAGCTTGAAAACCCCAAGATGTCCCTTGAGAGTAAGTGCGCGACCACAGCGTCCGTAGGAACAGCGCGCTCTCCACCGTCGCAGTGCGCCCTGTGGCCCCGGAGTCTTAGGTCCGAGCGGCTAAAACCGTGGCGGCGGAATGTGTTTAGTGCTGACCCCCGTCAGACCCGTGGACAGCTGCTCGCAGGCGCCGATCGGGGCGGCCCCTTTAGTTGACCCCGCCCCCTCGGCCCCCCATGTCCGCGCTCCTGGCCATTCCGCGGAACACGGGTAGGACTGAGCTTTGCAAACGGTGCTGCTCGTCGGCACACCGGTAAACCGGGAGTGCGGTCACTGGAAATCGTGAGAATGAGGGACCTTCGGGAGGCTGCTCCCCGAACAGGTGCAGAGCCCTGAGTCTACGAAGCCGGCACGGCAGCCTTCCCAGATCGTGGTAGATGCTGAGGCCCCGTGAGCCTGGCGCGGGGCCCCCTGCACTGGCCAGGCATGAGGGGGCCGGTCCTTGGGTGGTCTCGGCAGCTGGGAAAACACACAGTTCCAGGCCCGCCGGGACACACGGGGTCTCCTCCGAGGGAGGCCTGCGGCTCTGCGGGTTTCTGTCTAATCTGAAACGCTTCCCCTCCCCCGCCGCCCTGCTTTCCGAATGAAGTGACGGCTGTAAACTGGGTGGTTTTCCAGGTGGGACCGCCCCATTCAGGATGTAGTTGGTGCATCTCCATGCTCTGAGTTAGTGCGTTTCTCTGTTCTGTTCCTTGCAAACGGGGCATCCTGTCTAAAGGCTTGACCAGAGTCAGGTTTTCAGGAAAGGAATTGTTTCTGGTTGGTTCTAGACTTCCCCTTGCGTCGCACCAGGAAGCACTTGCATTTGGCTCTTCTGCCTTAAGGGCTTTAAGAATTGGGTGGTAACTGTCCCGGTGGCAACCGTCCTGGTGGTAACTGTCCCGGTGGCTCTCGCTGCTGAGCAGGTGGGGGCGGGGGGGGGGGCAGCTGAATGTGGGTGCACAAGCCTGACGCAGGGGCGGTTCTCCCGGCTGTTGGACACCGGACGCCGTCTGCACGTGGGGTTGATTCGGGGGTCCCTCGGGGAGGAGCTCTGTGCGTCACGGCGCAGCCTCGGTGGGAGGGGCCTCAGCAGAGGTCGGGCGGAGCCCCCACTTCCCCTCGAGACCAGAGAATCATAAGATAATCAGTGTCTCCCTTGCTGGCGGGAGAGAGCAGAGCCCACCCGAGAGGAAGCACAGTTTCTGGCTGGGGAGGGGTCTGCGTGCACTTGCGCTGTGCCCTCCTGGGCTTGACAGGGAGAAAAGCTGGGGCATGATGAATGCCAAGCTTTGGAAGAAGAAGTAGCTGAAGTCCCTCCTGTGCTGCTGGCTACTCGGCTGCTCCTCCGGTAAAAATCGTGGTTCTCCTTAGACCCGCAGCTGCTCCCAGTCGGAGTCTCTTAGTCCTGCAGAGCAGTGGTTAGGGGGTCACAGCATCAGGGAAGCTGTTAACGCCTCCTGCTGGGCAAGCAGCAGGTTCTGTGGTGGGTCTGTGTGATGCCTGGATGCGTGAGGCTCCTTTGTTGTGGGGCGAGGCTGTCCTCTGGCATTGACACCTCTGTGGGCCGCTCCCTGGGAAGCCCTTCCCTCTTCCACTCCCATCCGGCCCTCCCCAGGCCCCTGGGTGGAGGGCGAGAGTGGCAGCAGTGCCCCCTCCCGGGGAGTCCCCCCTGGGGAGTCCCGGCACTCTGAGGAGCACGTGCACCAGCCTCTGGAGTGGCTGCGCAGGTGGGAAGCCAGCAGACGCTCGTCATTGGACAGGGACGTTCAGTAAGGAAGTCCTCACAGGGGACTGGCAGTCACATCCGTCTTCTCCCCGGGCCTCCGCCTGCTCCTCGCCAGAGTCGGCGCGTGGCTAGAGCAGCAGTCACAACAGGGTCTGCGGGGCAGCAGGTCACGAGGCCGGGGGCTTTCGCCCGGCACGCCACGGGAACTTTAAAAAGGGGCAGACCAGGCTGCGGAGTCGGGGTGTGGCCCCCTTTCCCTCCAGACCGCCGCCGGAAAGGACAGCCGCCCGCGCTGAGGACGGCTGGCGCGGGGGCATCGCCAGCAGCACGTGGTCTGGTGCTGCGGTGCGGGGTTTCCGTGGTCGGGGTCAGTGCTCTGTGCTCCAGCTCAAAGCAGCGTGCCGACGCAGCGTGCCGACGCAGCGTGCCTGTCGCTGGCACACGTGCGTGCGCGCTGGGGGACGCGCCGGTGACGGGTTTGCCCTGTCTCCCCCGCGCAGACGACAAGATTCTGCAGATCATCACAGAGCTGATCAAGACGGAGAACAGCAACTGAGCCCGGCCTGCGGGCCGCCGCTTCGAGAACACGGGTGACGGCGCGGGCGAGGGCTCACGTGCCCGTGGGCCTTCCGGCGAAGCCTCTTCCTTCCCGGCGGGGCCGGCCCAGCGGCAGCGGGGAGCGCCCTCCTCACGCACGCACGTGTGACGCCCTGCTTCCTCCCCAGCGACGGTGTCACTCAGCGCGTCTGCCGCCGCCGCGCTCCCAGCAAGTCCTTGGGGGCGCCCCGCTGCGCGCACCCCGCTGTGCCTTCCGGGCGGGGCCTGCTCTGCAGCGTCCGTGACTGGGTGCTGGGAGTCCCCCTGCACCCACCTTCCCCCCACACCCCCCAGCGCCAGCCCCTGGTGCCCGGAGAGCTGACCCCTCCCTGGTGCGGAGAGGAGGCGGCCCCAGACCGGCCGCAGGCAGACCCGTGAGCTGGTGCCGCTGTAGGAGTCGGCCCCCGGCCCCCGGCCCCCCCAGCCCAGACCCGAGCAGCCCCTCGCGTCCTTGGCCGCAGGCCTGCGCCCGAAGGTGCCTGCGCCCGAAGGTGCCAGCGCCGCGCAGTCGGCAGCACTGGCTCGGAGCGCACAGTAGGTACTCGGTATTTCTTGACGAATAAAGAACTTTTATTACCTACTTAATTTCTGTGTAGAAGGCAGAACTTGGGAATGGGTGGACATACACACTCTACATTTAACTGTAGAACGGAATTATCTGCCTGAAGCCAGTCTGGGGACACCAAGCAGGCCCCATCCAGCCCGGGGGCACGTTCCCTCTCTTCCCCCACAGTCCCCACAGGGCGTGGGGGCCCGGGGCGGCTCAGCACCTGGGGGCGAGGGGGTGAGGGGAAGGGCCGAGGGCACAGAAATGCAGAGCGAGCCGGGTGAACCCGAGACCAGCTGGGTTGGGGTCGGGGGGTGAACGGCAGCGGGAGGAGCAGGAGCCGAGGGAGCAGGGAGCCACTCGCGCGCGCGTGCACGTGCGTGTGTAAGGCGCAGTGACAGAGCGCGGTGCCCCGTCCCCGTCTGTGCTCCCGGCCGTGAGCGTCTGGGCGGAGACGGGGGTCTCCCTGCGTGTCCTTCGAGGTAGCGTCCTAATCTTTCTTTCCGTTCTGGTGGTTCTGTGACGCTGGCCCCGGTTTGCCCCCTTTGCCCCCTCCGCCCACCCCCACCCCCCACCCCCACCCTGCAGTCCGTGTGCGTGGGTCACTCACACACGTTCTTTGGCCCCTCCCCTCCTTCCCACCCCTGCCGTCCCGTCATTCCTGAACCGAGGCGGGTGGGCGGGCTCCTGGGACGCTCTGCAGAGAGGGACGTGAGTCGTCAGACACACAGCACCCTGGGGTGCTCGACCTCGGGAAGGCTGGGTCCCGGTCGGTGGGGAGCGTGATGGCCGTTTCGTGGGGGACGTCGTCCGACTGCGCTGTGTGGTCAGGCAGAAGGCCAGTGACACAGGGCCCTGGGACGGGCAGTCTCCTCCCTGGGGGTGGGAGCGAAGGTGACCTGTCCCTTCCAGTCCTGGGCGGGAAGGAGCCCCCGCAGGTGGCCCCGCCGACCCTCCTGGGCCCGGGACCGCGGCAGAACTCCGAAGACGGCTTCCTGCCCACGGGAGTGGCATGGGCTCGGCCTCGGCCTCGGCGGGGGGGTCTGGCCAGGCCTGAGCAGAACGCAAGGCCCTGACGGCCACTGAGCTGAGCCGGGAAGGCTGGCCGTGAGGACGGAGAGTGCACTGGGGAACCAGGCCGTGTGTGTGGCCCTGACTTGTTAATAAATAGTGCACACACACGCACACACACACACACACGCATGGTGGTGCGCACAGAGAAACACATGCAGGAGACTGGAAGAGCGTGTACCGAACGCCAGGGGTTTCTGGCAGGAAACTTCTCTTCACCACGGACGTGCTCTAACTCCACCACAGTAAGCGGGCACTGCTCTTCCGATCAGGAACTCGCAGTGGAAGTCACTCACCGGAAAGTCTGCGGGGCGGACACTGAAGCAGCGCCGGTGGATGAACCCACGGACCCGGGGTGCAGGGCCGGCTGCAGGGCCCCTGGACGGCCCAGGCTGACCGCGCAGCCTCCCGGGCGAGCCAGGCGCATTCTCCGACTGCTGCCGCAGGCGCCTGGTTCCCACGGGGCTGGGTCACGCTCAGGCTGACCTCGCAGCGCGGGGGTACGGAAGTGCACGGGGGCGGAGCAAACCGTGCTCTGAACGCGCTTCCCTGGGTGGGGGAGGGGGCACCCCGAGCCAAAGAGAAACAGAAACGGAGTGGGCCCGTGGAGGCGGGGGTGTTCGCCCGCTCCGGTCGCTGAGCCCTAAGTCCCAGAGCAAGTCCCCCACGGGAAGGGGCGTGGCTCTGCTCCCCTGAGCGGCCAGGCCCTGCTCCACCCTGCCCACTGCTTTCCGATGTCCCCGCAAGACGGTGGTCACCACATCTCGGGCCTCCCCCCGGGGTTCTCTGCTTCCTACTTGACGAAGGCCCCGAACAGGTCTGAGGGCACGAGTGAATGTCATCAACGCTGCAAATGTTACACCTGCAGGGCCGGGAGGCCTGTCCCCGCCCAACCCCTCCGGGTCTGCAAGGAGGTGGGCTGCCCCTGCAAGGGGCCACAAGAGGGAGCATCGCCACGGCCCACCCCAGTCCACCGAAACCCCCAGGTGCCCAGAGACAGGCCCCGGGTCTTCCGCGTCCCGCAGCCTGGGGGCCCGAGCTGTCTCTCGGCCGCTGTGCTCCCGGCCGGTGTGGTTCTCCTCCGTCCCCTCTGATCCAGGCCCGGGAGGGCAGGCAGCGGCCGCAGACACCCACCCCGATGCCCCCTCCCCTCCCAACTGCAGAACGGAACGCTGCGTCTGGGGGTGACAGAGACGCAAAGGTGACCGAGGGACAACCCCTCGTCGTGACCCCGGGCCATGCTCATCTGCAGGGCGCCGTCTCCGGGTCAGCAGCCCCCAGACCTGCCTCAGTCTCAGGTGGAGTCCGTCTGGTGGGCTAGCATAGGAGGAACAGCAGCCTCCTGGCTCCTTACCACCATACACGCTCACTGACACGTACGTGGGGTGTGTGACAAGTGGCCTGTTGCACACGTCAACAAACTGAACGCCACGTACTATTTTTCCCAGCGAGCCGGGGGCGGGGGGCAGAGAGACACACACCTCAGCTCGAGCAAAGCACCATCGCGGTGGCAGCTAACTCCTGCTGAGCACCCTTCGTGCCTCTGTGACCCTCGGGGCAATTTCACTGGGTCCTCTCGCCACCCCACTGTTCAGCAGCTGGGAAACTTGCTCCAGTTCGTGGAGCCCGGGTGATTCGGGCCCACGGGGGCGGACTCCAGAGCTGGGCGTCTTAACTACCGTTGGGTGCCGGGCCGGCTGCCGCAGGCGGGCGTGAGCCCCGAGGGAAGGCACGTGTGTGAACGAGGGGAGGAGCGGTGTGTCTGAGTGCCTACAGGTGGTGGTGAGGTGGCAGGCAGGCAGGTGTGGACACTGGTGGGCACTTACACATGGAAGGCAAAGGTCGGGCTTCAAGAAGTGCTGAACATTCCTGCCCTTTGCTTACTAAGTGCCAGTGATACGCGTCTGACTTCAAACACCTGAATTACTTCTCAGTTTGGGCGCTTCAGTGCATTAATAGAAAACGGCGTCTTCAGCGAATGTAACTTTCAGGGACGGTCAGACCTGCGTCGAAGGGTCATCTGGGGCGCACCCTCAGCCGGGTAGCACCCCGCTTGTTTGGTTTGCAGCAAAAGGGGCTGCTGCGAAGGCACCGTTGTCCCCCAGCCCCAGCCCGGGGCTCCTCCCTGAGGCCGACGTGCCCACCTGGGGACACAGAACACCACGGGACGCCAGGCCACCTCGGCCCCGCGGTGCTCACGCCCTGGCGGACTTCAGGCCCCGCCCCTGAGGAGCACCGGGGCGGAAGGCGAAGCCGCTCTCAGCGCAGAGGCCCGGTTTAATTAGGTTTGGCGTTTTTTGAGAGGTATTTTAGGTTTACCTACTGCCTCTAAGGTGCACTGGGCCCAGGGCCCGGAGAGATTAGAAAACAAATTAATTTTAAAGACCCTTCACGGGGAAAGTAAAAAGCCCTGAACTTGCACCATACTGCTCCTACCGCAAATACTGCACCCCGCGCCCCGCGCCCCCCCCCCAGCCCGTTTCCCAGCGATGGGGCACAGTAACCTCCCCTCCCCCCAACCCGGGACGTGTTTATTGACTTGAGAGAGAGACACGGTGATTGGCTGCCTCCCGCGTGCACCCCAGCTGGGACCGAGGGGCGTGCGCATGCGCGTGCGCTGGCGGGGAATCAGACCTGCAGCCTTTGGGTGTAGGAGACAACGCTCCCGCCGACCGCGCTACCGGCCGGGGCACAGTCGTCTTCTAAGCAGAGGACAGACCAGCCCTCTGCCTCGGTCTGGCCTCTCCGTGCCTTTAGGTCGAGTGTAAACATTCACGGGAGCCGGACGCAGCCACGGCTCTGCGCGGTCTCGCTGCAGCAGGGGCGCGTCAGGCGAGCGGGGAGCCAGGCGGGATGCGTCTGTTCGCTGCTGGCGGGGCGGTGGGCCCGGTGCTTGTCCTCTCTGCGCCCCAGGTTCCTTTTCTGTGAGTGGGGACAGTGCAGAATCCACCTCTTGGCGCAGTTTGCAGAGTCAGGGAGCACAGCACAGCACCCGGCCCACAGTGAGTTCTACGTGAGCGTGGGTATCCTCTCCCTGCATCCCCCCACCCGGCCCCTGGCCCCTCGGCGCTGGCTCCAGCCGTGCTGGGTCGGGCAGGCCCCAGCGCCACCCCCCCCCCATCCTGTTCCTTTACTGGGAACACACTCGCATCCCCAACCCCCCGCTCTCAGCTCCATCAGCTCGACCAGCACTGGGGTGTTTGGTGGGAGTCGGGTGGGCGGGCGTCTGTCCGCTGCAGGGCGGAGCTCCCACCGCGGCTGCCGCTGGGAGCCGGCTGCCCGGGGCTCGGGGCCCAGCTGAGCGTGAGCGTCGGTAAACACCAACGAACTTCCGTGCGAGCGCGCCCCGTGCCGCGTCCGGGTCTCAGACGGACAACAGTTTTAGTGCAAACGTGCCCCTGCCGTATTCCAGCCGTCCTTCGAGCCGTTTCTCTGTTCTCGACCTGACGCTTGAATTTAACTGTGCCAGACCCGCCGGCGGCGCCGCGGGGAGGCGCCTCGCACTGCCGGGCACACTTCAACGCGGACCCAGGTGGCGCGCGCTCCGTCCCCGCCAGCTCTGAGCGAAGCCAGACCCGGCCTTCTGCGCGCACGGGCGCGCCCCGGAGACCCCGCGGGCGGCCGCGAGCGGCGACCTATCCGCAGGTGGGAGGCCTCGCCTGCGGTCTGTGAAGCGAAACAGCTGCGAGGCGCCGCAAAGCCGAGCGCAATGGAGCTCGGCGCGCGCGTCCCGGGAAAACAGCGCCGCCCGGCCCGAGCGCGGGCGCCCCCTGCCGGGGGCTCGCCCTGACCGCGGGGATGGCCGAGCCCTGGGCACCAGGCGCCTCTGCCTCGCGCCCGCGGGCGCGCGGAACGACGGCGCAGCTCTGCGGGCGGGCTGCAGTGCGCTGGCTTTGCTGACGCCCCCAAACAGCTGTAGCGCGTAACCCCGCTGGTTCACGTCCGAAGAGGCCTGGGTGTCGGCCCTGCAGCATTCGCTCGCGCGAGTCACAGACGAGGAAAAGAGCCGGGAGACCCGCCGCGGGAGCGACGTTTCTCTTGACTCCGGGCTTTTCCCGCTGCACGGCTGGGCCAGCAGGGCCGACGCTGGAACCGGGATCCCTGGGTTCTTCCTCCTCGCCCTGGGCGCTTCTGCCCGAGGGCGTCTGATGTCTGCCCCCCGCCCAGGTTCCAGGGCCCCCGCCGCGACGGTGCCCCGGGCAGCCTGAGAGGAGCCGAGGGGCCTGGCACCTGCTTGCAGGTGATTCTCAGCTCACTCCTCCCGTTACAAATCGCACCCCTTAGCCTGGGGGCTAAAAGCTTTGCTCAGATTTGCAGGGAAGGGAAATGGGGGTGACACTGCCCAGAACCCGAATCAGCCCCTTTCCTTCCGCCCGCATTTCTAGAAGACACCGCCCCACCCACTAAACTCCTGGGGACAAAGATTCGCACTCGGATCACTCACGTTGGGAGGGTTTGTTTGTTTGTTTGTTCCCGGAATGGGGTGAGGAAGGCTGGCCGGCTCTGGGCTTACACCTAGTAATTTCACCTTTGGGGGCCTCTGGGCTTCCTGCCCCAGCGGCAGACCCTCGGGGCTCCCGGGTGCTGCTGGTGCCCCCAGGACCCGTCTCCTGCAGGGTCCAGCTGCTCCCGGGGCGGGGCGCTGCGGACTAACCCAGCAGGGCCCTCCAGCCCGGACGCCCCACCCCCACGCCGCGCAGCTCCGCTTCCCGGGGCTTCCCGGGAAGGGGCACTTCCCTGAGGACTCGTCCCCGCCGAGGCCGGGAGCTGGCAGCAAAGGACGACCCGGCAGAGGGGGCAGACGATACGAACATTCGGTAAAGCGGGAGATGCGCCCCTCCGACTGGGTGGCGCGCTTCTGAGCCGCCCCAGCCTACTCGGTGCCGGGTGGCAAGCGCGCAGGGCCGCGCGCCAGGCGAGACTCCTCTGGCGGGACTGGCCGCGAGGTGACGGCTGCGCAGAGCCGCGTGCATGGAGGGACGCTGGCGACTCCGGTCCTGCCTAAGACAAAACCACACGCGCAGCTGAACCGGGGTCGATGCTTGTGTGGGTCGCTGCAGAAAACCCGCGGGCTGGCAGAGTGGCCGCTGCAGGCTTCGCCTGGGGCTGGATCAGCGGGCAGGGAAGGTCCGGCCGTCCGGCCCAGGAGCGGCAAGTGGCCGCAGGACCAATTTCTCCGCGGGGCCGCCCCACCTCCACCGCCCCGGGGTCCGAGCTGCCCCCCCCCCACGCCGGGACCCCACTCGGTTGCCCAGGTAACGCGGGACGCACGCCCAGCCCGCGGTTCAGAGTCGGTGAGCTGCCCCCGGAGCCCCGCCTCCTCCGGCCTGCCGGCCGCGCGCTCCGGGGCGGCAGTTTGGCCGCGAAAGCGCGGCGCCCTGACGCGGGGGCGCAGCCAGTGAGAGGTCGAGGGCGTGGTGGAGGCCGGAGCAGGCAGCTACTTAGGGCCTTGCGGCCCCTGGGGCTGGGCTCCTTCGCGTCCTGGTACCTGCGTCCGGCCCGCCGCAGCCACGGAGTGGCGGGTCGGCCGCCGGGACGCAGCATGGTGACCCCGTGCCCCGCCGCCCGGGCCGGGAGAGGAGACAACGACCAGTACCTGCGTGCGCCGGTCAAGAAGAGCAGGCGCCCACGCCTGCGGAGGAAGCAGCCGCTGCAGCCGCTGAGCCCGTGCCTGCTCCCGGGGGACTCTGGCATTTGCGACCTGTTCGAGTCCCCCAGCTCAGGCTCAGATGGTGCCGGCAGCCCCGCGGCCCCCGGGCGGCGCGGCCCTGCCCAGCAGTCGGCGCAGCTGGATCTGCAGACCTTCCGCGACTACGGGCAGAGCTGCTACGCCTTCCGCAAGGAGCGGGAGAATCACTTCCACGCGCGGGAGGCGCTGGCGCGGCAGCCGCAGGTGAGCGCGGGTGGAGCCCCGGCCCGCGCCAGCCCGGGTCCCTGCGGCGTCCCAGCGGGAAGGGGGTAGGCTCTACGGATGGTGCGCAGTGGGCGGTAGCGGGCTTAAGCCTCCAAACTGGCTGTGGGGACGCAGTGGCACGCGGGGGGGAATTAAGGCGGTTTCTAGGTTGAGTCCGGACTGCTACAGACCCAAGGGAAGGTGTTTAACAATCCCGAGCCGTTTCTTCGTCTGCGCGGTGGGAAGCCCCCGCCCCCACTGAATTACGGAGACAGAGGTACTGTGTTACGCGCTCGGCACAGCGCCAGGCGTGAGTCCTGGCACCCAGCCCGGCTTTTTTCGCCGCGGCACGGCCCGCGCTTCCCAGTTTACGCGCATTTAGCTTTTTCCCCTTCTTCCGGGGAAGCTCCCTGGGTTGCCGTGACCCGTGCATTCGCAGCTCCTCTCCGCCCTAGGCTCAGCCGGCCGCCTCCCGCTCCTCCCGGTAGGTAACCGCGGAGTCCCGCTGCAAGCTGCTCAGCTGGCTGATCCCCGTGCACCGCCAGTTCGGCCTCTCCTTCGAGTCGCTGTGCCTGGCGGTGAACACCCTGGACCGCTTCCTCGCCACCACGCCCGTGGCTGCGGACTGCTTCCAGCTGCTCGGGGTCACGGCCCTGCTCCTCGCCTGTAAACAGGTACCTGCCCGCGGGCACCCAACTCCCTTCTGGCCGCCGGGTCCTCCAGCGCACGCGATCTAGTGACCGGCTCCCTGAGCTCCTCGGGCAGAGGTTTGTGAACTGAGGCGCCCGCAGCCTTACCTTCACAACCACTCCCAGGTCCGAACTAGGCTGCAGTCAGTCCCAAAGGTCAGTGACAACAGCCCTTCGCAGGGCCGCGACTCCCGTCCCTTGAAACTTCCTCAGACCTTTCCCAGTTGGGCAGTAGTTAGAGAAGACGCGCTGGGAGCCCAGCGCAGGTGGCTTAAGTGAAGCCCCGGCCGTCTCGCTGGAAGGGATGGGGGGAGCCCCGGTTTCCCCGGGGTTTGAGGCCGGGGTGCGCCTGGGGCGCTGGAGCGCGTGCGCGTGCACGCGCGCGCACGGGGGAGGGGCTGAGCGCCCTGTGCCGCAGGTGGAGGTGCACCCGCCTCGCGTGGAGCAGCTCCTGGCCCTGTGCTGCGGCGCCTTCTCCCGGCAGCAGCTCTGCAACCTGGAGCGCATCGTGCTGCACAAGCTGGGCTTCAGCCTGGGCGCGCCCACCGTCGGCTTCTTCCTGGAGCACTTCACGCACGCGCGCGTGGACGCCGGGCAGGCCCGCGCCTCCCAAGCCCTGGAGGCGCAGGCGCTGGCGCAGGCGGTGGCAGAGCTGAGCCTGGCCGACTATGCTTTCTGCAGCTACGCCCCGTCCCTGCTGGCCATCTGCTGCCTGGCGCTGGCCGACAGCATGCTCCAGCGCCCGCTCCCCGTGGACTTGAGCCTGGGCGGGCACCCCGAGCCGGAGCTTCAGGACTGCCTGGGCAAGCTGCAGCTCCTGGTGGCCATCAATGGGACCTCCCTGGCTCACGTGCTGCCCCTCCAGATCTGTGACAAGTGCAGCCTGTCCACCAGCTCGCAATAAAGTGGACCCTGGGTCTCCATTTAGCTCCTGGGGCCGGGCCCCTCCCACTGCTTTGAGAGAATGCAGTGTCGGCCCTGGGGAGAGGGGAGCTCCAGGCCCCGCCTGGCCACCAGCTCGTCCTGCGCGGGCTGTAGATAGTGTGCGATATTAGCGCCTGGTCACTTACTTATTTTGCTGAGAGCCGTCTTTGCCCAATAAACAGGCTGTCTGTCCGTCCTGGTATGTTTGAATGCTCTCCTTGGGCTTCTTTGTCGCACGGAGGGGTGGTGAAGGCCTCTGGGCACTGGAGGCCCGGGCAACGAGGCAACAACGGAGGGGCCCTGCCTCCCCTCCCCCCACCCCTGCTGCACTCCGTCCGCAGTTGGCGTCTCTGCAAGAACGCCAGGTCAGGCGAGGCCCCAGTGGAGTCAGGGTTGCCTGAAGGCCTGCACCCTGTGATAGCCACCCCCTCCCCCAGCAGGAGGCTGAGGCCAGCACACCCCTAGGGATCCGAAAGGGTGCTGGGGTGTGACACCCACAGAGCCCACACCAGCTTGTGCTGTTCGGAGGGGCCAGGGTGCACGCGCTGTTGCCAGCAGCCCGGTTGCGAAGCTCTGCGGCCCCCGCAGGTGTGCTGGCCGAGGGAAGGCAGAGCCCCCGGCGGCTTACAGGTGCTGCAGATCGAGGCCTTGCCTTGCGGGCAGCAGTGGCCCCTGCGAACACAGCCCCTCACCCTGCAGCCAGACGGCTCCGCAGCTGAGCCTCTCGCTCACACCTGCTGCCCCTGAGCCGGGCAACAGCGGTGCGGCAGTCATCAGGGCTCTCGCCGCCGCAGCGGCGTTCCCCATTTCAGACTGAGGCTTTTGTGAGGGGCAGCGTCCAGTCCCTCACTTTGCAGTGAGGGACACGGGGCCGCAGAGAGGTCAACCGTGGAGCAGCAGCAGGAGTGGAAGGCAGGTGGTCTGCACTGCCCTCGCTTGCCCACCCTTAGCCACTTTGCTCGACTCCCCCCCCCCCCCAAGTTTCTGCAAGTGCTCGGAAAACGCTCCTCCCGGGACAGGAGGGGCGGTTGGGAGGCGGTATAACGTACTGAGTAAGCAAACGGACTCCGGAGTCTGTTTGCCGGGCGACCTTAAGCGAGTCTACGCCTCTCCTGCAGAGGTGGGAATACCAGCAGCGCTCACCTGGTAGGGCTGGGGCGGGGGTGTGATGTCCTGTCCACTCAGACCCCCAGCACAGGCCCTGGCAGGTAGTTAGCGAGTCTTCAAGGAGGCTGGTGGCGGCCTGCACAGGGGGAAGGGGAGAGGAGTTACCCAGACAAACACTTGGAGACAGAAATAGAGATGAAGCAGCTGGGGCTGGTATGGCTCACTGGGCTGAGTGCTGGCCTGAAAACCAAAGGGTCATAGGTTCGATTCCCACTGAGGGTATATGCCTGGGTTGCAGGCCAGGTGCCCAGGAGAGGCAACCGCACATGGATGTTTCTCTCCCTCTTTCCTTCCCGTCCCCCCTCTCTGAAGATAAATAAAATCTTTTTTTCTATTTTTTTTTATTTTAATCGTTGTTCAAGTACAGTTTTCTCCCTTTTACTCCCATTCCAGCCCACCCACCAAACCCCCCCACTTCCCTCCCATGATAAGTAAAATATTTTTAAAAAAAAGAAGAAAAGAAATAGAGATGAAGCAAATACAGAAAAGTTTTGCCATTTGGAGGTGAACACACTGTTCATTCAAATTTCCTGTATGGGTGAAAACAAAGGGTTTTTTTGGGCGGGGGGAGTCATGTTCTACTGCATTTAGAACTAAATGTATGACAAGCATGCACAAGTAAAAAGCAAACAAAGCAAATTTAGAGAGTCTTCCTTGCACCTGGTTTCCCATGCGCCCTCCAGAGCCGGGAGCCCTCGGTCTGAGCCCCGCCCCCCCGCCCGGGGCCCTGTCTCTCCTGCTGCGTTTGCCGCGCGCACGCCCCAGGAGCTGGCCCCGCCTGGGGTCGGGGAGAGGGAGACAGCGACCCCCAGGCTCTTTGAGGAGAAGCCGGTCTGTGACGGCCAAAAGGAGGAGAAAAACCACGTCGTCTGTGCCAGATTCCCAAGTCGACCGCGGCGCCCTCAGCCCGGCTGTGGGGCGCGGGGCGGGGCCTGGCCCCTCTGCCGCGGTGTGACGCTGGGAGGCGCTGTCTTCCCCAGCACTGCTCCGTCACTCGCCCGAAACCGGTGTGTGACTCGGTTCCAGAACCATCCAGACTGGGGGCCTGTAACCGAGCGATTCCCGCTCCTGGGCCAGTTACTCTAGCGCGCGTTTTTATGTCCCATGCCCGTATTTTTCTGCACAAGTTGATGGAGCTCATTGGTGGAAAATGGGCCCGTTCTGGAAAACCGGGGATGGTCTCCACGTGCAGACCGCCGCCCCAAACTTAGCTAAGAGTCCCCCTACTCCCTTTACAGGCTGGGGGGTTGGTGGGCAGTGGGGGAGGGGAGGGGAGGGGGTGGCCAGGCTGCCCAGGATCCAGGGGAAGGAGCCGGCAGAGCCAGGAACAGGCTGTGGGCGCCCGGAGGTGCCCAGAAAAGGCTCCTTAAGACACTAATTCTTCTTGGCTGGAGTAGCTCAGTGGATTGTGCGTGGGCTGCAAACCAAAGTGTCGCAGGTTCGATTCCCAGTCAGGGTACATTCCTGGGTTGCAGGCCAGAACCCCCAGCAACCACACATTGATGTTTCTCTCTCTCTTTTTCTCCCTCCCTTCCCTCTCTAAAAATAAATAAAATCTTTTTAAAAAAAGATATTAATTCCTCCACACACACCAAGGAGCACCAGTCTCGACATAAGTAATCTCATCCTCGCGGCAAAGCCCTCGGAGTCTGTGTTATGTCTTTCCTAAAGAACTGGGGTCCGTGGACCCGGTTCTGATCCTCGGGCCCTCCCACCCTAAAGCCACGGCTGGTCACGGAGAGCGGCGTCACACGGGCTCCAGCTGGCTGGCCTCACCCTGCTGGGCGGCCGCGTGGACAGACGGACCCGAGTGTCCGAGTGGACACCCGCTCTCATCACTGTGAGGGGCTCCCGTTCCTTATTAGCCCGGGGAAAAAGGACCTTTCATGACTAGTACTAGGCACAAGACACCAGGGGCCCACTTTCAGACGGTGGTTCGGACTCGATGGGTGTGCGCGGCCCGAGGGAGGCTCCTCGGCCGGGCCTGGAGACGCCCCGTTCCGGGACAGGCTCGGGCAGGCAGCCGCCAGGGCGGTGGAGCCGCCACCCGGAGCACCCGGGGGCCAGCGGACAGAGACCGGGGCTGCAGGGGCTGCGGGACTGTCCGCCGTGGCGGTTTCCGAAACCGGAGCACGGTTCGCGGGTGTCACTTTACCCTAACTGGCCCCCTTTCAAAGGCTACGCTCAGGCGCTGCCGCCGGGGAAAGCGGAGCTGGGGGGCGCGGGGGCGCCGGGGACGGGGGGCTCTAGGCCTGGGACGCCCGCAGATCCCGCGCGAGTGCGTCAGCGCCGGGAGCGCCCCCTGGAGTCTCGGGGGAAGGGGCGTCTGCGACGGGGGAGGGGCAACTGTTCCCGCGAGTTCCCGCCGGGGTTCTACGCCGGCCACGCCCCCCAGGGCGAGGCAGACGCTGGGGCCTGGCTTTGGAAAGGGCGCGTTCTGCCCCGCTCTGCGTCTGGGTGGGAAGAAAATGGAACGAGAATCCTCAGCCGCGCATCCCTGCTGCCCAACGGCGGGAAGGAGGCGCTCGGGGTTAGGGACCGGCGGGCCCCGTCCGCCCTATTCCCTCCCTCCCTCCCGCCCTCCCTTTGGCGCGGCCAGGAGGCGGCGGCGCCAACCCTCGCCGAAAGGGCGCTGGCGGGCCCGGGCCCCGCGCTCGCGGCTCCCGGGGGAAGCCGTTGCCGGGCTGGGTTGAGCGCCTCCGCCCCCGCGCAGATTGTCGGCGCTCGAGGCGCCACCTCCGGCGCTCCGGCGCGGGCAGCCCCTCCCGCGCGCGGCCGCCCCCGCCCCTCGGCGCCACCCGGCCACGCGCCTGCCGGGAGCTCCCGACGGCTCCCTAGCCCGCGGGCGCCCGGCGGAGCGCAGGGTGCGAGTCGCCGCCTCTGAGCTGTCGGCGGGGTTCCTGGGTCGAGGCCGGCGGGCAGGCGCGATGCAGGCGTGCGAGGGCGCCACGGCGGGACGCCAGGCCTTCGACAGCATCTGCCCCAACCGGATGCTGGAGCTGCGAGGCCGGGCCCTCGGCAAGCCGGGGAAGCCAGAGAGGAAGGTGGGGCGGGGCCGGGGCCTGGGGCTCGGCGGGGCCGCACGCCCTGGGTCCCCAGGGCTGACCCGCACTTCGATTCCGTGCCCGCCTAGTTCGCCCCTCCGCGGACGTTCTTCTCTGGCTGCAGCGGCGGCAGCCCGGTGTCGGTGTACGAGGACCCTCCGGGCGCCGAGCCCGCTACGCTGCCCGGTGAGCCCGGTGGCCCCGCGCGCGACCCTTCGGGTTCCTAGTGCGGGGCAGGTCGGGCATACGCGGCGGGGAAGAGCTGCTCTGCCCGGGTCCCTGCGGCCTGGCCGGAAGCTGAAGACCCGCCCGCGCGTCTCCGGTTCTTCCCGCGCAGCCCTCACCACCATCGATCTGCAGGACCTGGCCGACTGCTCGCTCCTCGGGCCAGACGCGCCGCCTGCCGGTGACTCGGCCGCCTGGCAGGTACCTCCCTTTCCTCGTGGCTCCCTTCTGCCTCCCGTGCCCAAACTCTGGCTTCGGGGTCACGGGCGTGTTTCTGCAAAGGCTTGTCGCCCGTGGGGAGCGCAGACACGTCTGGCTAGTGAGGGGACGTGGGGCCGGAATCCGGGCCCGGAAGATCAGATTTCCTCCTTCCTCCCAACAAGTCACGACGGCGGCCGCCTTCTCAGAGCTGTTCTGACCGATCCGGCAGGGGGCTCACCTGCAGGGCGCCCCCGCCAGACCCGTCTCTGGCCTCCTTCTTATCCATTCCCTGGAGCTTCTCCGATCGCTCACCCAGGCACCAGGTGCTCGCTTGGCATCGGACTGGTCTTGTCTGTTCCCCCAACGCGCCCTCCCCGGCCTTCATGCACCTTTCCCACCGCCTGGGTGTCTGCGGAGTGTGCAGGTCAGAGGGTATACCACTTCTGGATGGAGATGGGGAAGGACGGAGAGAGTTTACACTTGCAGAAAGCGGGACGAGGAGCAGAGGACTCTGGGAGAAATCCACAGAAAACGCTCGTCTCCACATAGGTGCCCTGTAGCAGTTCTAAAGTTTCTTTTGTCTTCCCCCCCAAAGGCTCTCGTTACCTACCCTCATGGGACAGAGGCATTTGACTTTTTTCTTTTCCCAAAAAACCATCTTCCTACTTCTGGGCCACTCTAGCGCTGGCCAGGGCTGACCCTCCCCGGGGCCGATGGTGGAACCTCCCAGCTCTGGTGCCCAGCAGGCCCAAGGCCTGCTCACCTCCGGACATGGAATGCCCAGAAGGACAGGCGGTCCCAGCTAAATGCAACCCGGAAGAGTGCCAGTCCAGCCTCCTGGCGGCAGGTGCCGGAGACAGGAGCCCGTGGGGACAGACCCAGCACAGAATCCCCTCAGACATGACTGCCCCCCACAGCTGCAGTCGGCGATGCAGCAGAGATTCCCAGGCCCCCACCCCCACCCCAGTGCCCCTGAGAACTGGGACAGAGCCCGGGGGTCTCGGGGGAGGTGGCCTGCCAGAGCAGAGGTGGTCCAGGTGAAAGGTAAGAGTGGGCGTGGCCCTGTGGAGGCCGTTCTGTCGTTCTTTTTAGTTCCGGAAGCTCAGATAAGGAGAGACAGAGTCTGCATGCCTTCCCAGGGGCCCAGAGCCCACACCACCCTCCCAGCCACCGTGTCCAAACCAGGAGGCTCTGGCTGAATGTTCGCCGCAGGACACAGAACTGCAATGTGACATTACGTCCGTGTTTGCCTTTGTTTCGGTCTGCGGCTGTTGGAGGAACGCCACATTTGTATGTCACTGGGGAGGCAGGATCGAAGTTCCAAGCATGGCGGTCACATAAGACGGCCCAGGAGGCCCAAGACTTCTCCTGGGGAAGACAGCTGGTGCGAGAGGGAGGGAGGCCCCTGGCCCGTCCCGGCCACATGGCCCAGCCCCTCCTGCTGGGGAAGGCGGACAGAGAGAAGTGCCCCGGAAGTGCCTGAGGTCCAGCCAGTGCGGGTCACAACCAGCACAGAGGGAGCCTTTCCTGTGCCCTCATCATCGCTGTTGGCCTGCAGGCTGCTCGTCCTGGGCTTGTCTGCAGTCTCCGGGGAGAGGGCGACCTTCCCGCCCTCAGCAGAGGAGACTCCTCCCCTGTCCTCTCCTGTCCAGTGCCTCCCACCGGGGGCGGGGGGGACTCAAGCCTGGGCGTTTCCAGGGCTGTGGGCCTCTCCTCCCTCAGCTCCTTCCCCTGCAGCCTCAGTCCCCAGCTGATGCCAGCAGCACCCCCTCCCATGAAGCCCTCCTCCCTGAGGAAAACTGACTCAGACACTGCGTGAAGCCAGGGTCAGAATAAGTTTTTTTCTCACACATATCTGAGTAGTGTGAAGACAGGCTTCAGTGAGGAGAGTATGGCGGAAGCAAAGGAATCTACCAATCCACAGCAGTGCAATGCGCAGAGTAGAGATTTTCGGTGGGCTTTCTGGAGGTGCCCCCACACCGTGTCCCCCCAAAGACTGCTTCCCAGCCTGGCCGTGCTGGACGCCAGGCTCTCCCGAAAGGCGGGTGAAGCCGGAGGCGCTGCTGTCTAGAGGCAGGAGGACTGCAGGAGGCGCGTGCATCCTGGGGCAGGAGCCCCAGTTCCGCGATTCCAGAGCTGGGCCACAAGTGGGCAATTCCCGTTTCTCGGAGCTTGATTCAGAGGAGGAGGAGGAGCCACGTCCTGGGCCCTGCCTGCTTCCCACATCGGTGTGAGAAGTAACAGAGGGACTCTGTGTAGAGTTTAAACGTTCAGGAATTAAGGGATGGGAAGTTCCTGGACCCCCAGGCACTCTGCAGGAACCCAGGAGAGTGTGCAGCACAGGACGCTGCAGGTGCCGCGCACCGTACGGGGAAAGTCAGCTCGGATTTTTTAAGGAACGAGAGAGCCACAGGGCGACCCCTGCAGCGTGCGGAACGGGAGCTCTGCCCCTGCGTCTTAGCCGACCGTTTCCTTGGCATGGTGGGAAGGGGTGGTCTACTGTGACCGAGCCTGGGCGCAAAATACGGCCTCAAGCCACCGCCTTGTGAGGCCCTGCACCGTGTAGGGTCCTGGGAGGAAGGACCGGGGCTTGGGTGTTCGCGCGGGCGCTCCGGGACCTGGAGCAGTGGCTCCTCGGCCTGTGCAGGTGAGTCCGCGCCGAGGTCCCGCAGCGCAGGGGGGGCGCGCCGCAGGCAGCTGATTGGCTGGTGGCCGGCCAATGGGGCGACGCGGGGACCCGGACTGGGCAGACTGGGGCGGGGGCGGGGGCGGGGGGGTGGCGCTGCTGGGCGCCCGGCTGCCTCGCGGGGCGCTAAGGGTCGGAACCCGATGCAGCAGCGCACGGGGAGGGGGGGTGCCCGGCGCGACCTTCGCAGACCGGGTCCCCACGTCGTGCACCCGCCCCGCGCCCTGGCGGTGCAAGGCTGCTGGGCCCCTGGTCTGGGACGGGGCTCAATTGTCAGGGGGGAGGCCCGGCTGCGAGCGCAAGGGCGTGCAGACGGGGCGGAGCCCGGGGCGGAGCTCCGAGCGCGGCCATCGGAGCAGGGCGTGTCCCGGGCCTGTCAGGCCCCACGCTAAGCAGTTCGCACCTCTGCTTCGTTTCAGAGCCCCGCCGCCCCGCCGACGGCGGCGGACTTCGGTCTGCAGGGTTTCAGGGACACGGTGGAGGATCTCATCGCAGGCAAGTGAGGTCTCTCTGCGGCTCAGGGACGGCGGGGTGCCCCCCTGTCCCCGCCGCGGTGAGGCCGGTTCCGATTTCCTGGTTTCCTGGTCGGGAGGGCGGGAAACCCAGCACCTGCCAGCCGCTCGTCCAAGGGCCAGGCTGTCGGTAGTTGGAGCGCCCCGGGCTTCCTGGGGGAGAAGAGGAATCGCAGGGTCTCCAGCGCTGTCTCGGGTTGCGGGTGTGAGATCCGGGGCAGGCCCCGCTCTGCCCTGCGGCCGGAGAGGCGAGCGGCAGGGCCCGTCGAGCGCCTGCTGCGAGCGCGCAGGTATCGGGAAGGGCCTGGGAACCGCGGGGACGCGGAGCGAGGGCCGCTTCACTTACCCAAGAGAAGTCTCCGCGCAGCCCTGCAGCCGCGAGCCATCCTGTCCCTGTCCCAGCGGGCGCCAGTCCGAGGCTGCGAACCCCGCTCCCGCTCTCCCGCAGACGCGTCCTCCTTGATGTCGCCTCCCCTGGCCAGCGGAGACTTCCCCTTCTCTCCTTGGGACGCACTGCCCTTCGGACCCTGCCTGTCCCAGCCGCTGGACCCGCTCGCCCTGCCGCCACCACCGCCGCGCCCTGCGGAGGCGCTCCGCTCGGAGCAGTACTGGAAGGAGGTGGCCGACCAGAACCAGAGGGCGCTGGGGGACGCGCTGGTTGAGAACAACCAAGTAGGGACCGTGGGCCGGCGGCTGGCAATGCTGGGGCGGGACAGGATGTGGGTGCCGGAGACCTGGGAAGCGGTGGGCCCGCGGGTGGCCCACGGAGCCGCCCTGGCTCCAGGGTCCCGCCTCCGCTCCCAGCTGCACTGGGTGGGAATGCTCTTGCCCCGCCAGGGTGTTAACAGGGCCACCCTGTTACTGAGGGCTTTCTGCGCGCCCAGCATCGTGCTCCCCAGCTTGCGCTCTCCTCGCCTTTCACGCCGTGTCCTTTGAGCGAGACGCCCTTACCAGCCCCACTCTGCAGGCGAGGAGACTGAGCCATAGGAAGGCTGAGCCTCAGAGGCCGAACCTCCCTGCCTGTTGCCCAGTCATTTCCTCTTCACCGCCAGCCACGCCAGGGGTTAGGGGACATGCATTTCGTCCGAGTGCTCTGTTCAAAAAGAAGATGCTAATTCTCACCAGTGTAACTGCTCTGGGCCCGCTCCTGGTTGGACGCTGGTTAGGTCCCGGCTTCCCTGGCGCAGAGCACCCTGACAAGGCCCAGCGCGGTGCCTGCCGCTCAGGGTCCCGGTCTCCCGCAGCTGCACGCGACGCTGACCCAGAAACAGGAGGAGATCGCGTCGCTCAAGGAGCGCAACGTGCGGCTGAAGGAGCTCGCCAGTCGAACCCGGCACCTGGCCTCGGTGCTGGACGTAAGAGGGGCGCGCCCGAGGGATGCTGCGGGCAGTCGGAAATGTCCTGTACGCCCGCCCCCCCGCCCCCCCTCGCTCCCAGTGTGGGGCTGGGACGAGGTGGGGGACGGAGAGGCCAGCTGGGAGTCCTCGGAGTCACTTGCAGGGGCACCGCTGAAGCGCCCGACGCCGGCCCCAGGCGGCGCCCCTCCTCCTCCTGTCTTGTAGAAGCTGATGATCACGCAGGCCCGGGATTGCGGGGCGGCCGCGGAGCCCTGCCTGCTCAAGGCCGCTGCCAAGAGGAGCCTGGAGGAGCTGCTCGCAGCCGCGGGGCAGGACTGCGCGCAAGCGGACGCCATCCTGAGGGATATCTCCGAGCACTGCGACGAAGCGCTGCAGAGCCGTGACCCCAAACGGCTCCGCCTGCAGCCGGAGTCGGCGAGCCTGACCCGCCCGCCCGGGCAGCTGCACGGCGCCTTCCGTGGGCTGCACACGGACTGCAGCGCGCGCGCGCTGGACCTGAGCCACGGGGAGCTGGAGGAGGGCGGCTCCTTCTGCACCCCCATCCGCAGCCACAGCACCATCCGCACCCTCGCCTTCCCCCAGGGCAACGCCTTCACCATTCGGACGGCCAACGGGGGCTACAAGTTCCGCTGGGTCCCCAGCTGAGCTGGCGTGCGGTCCCTCCGCAACGCTGCCCGCACCCTGAGCGCAGCGCCTGGAGGCTCAGCGGGCGGGGCTGGAACTGTTTCCTGCACCCGGCTTCTCAGACTCCCCCGGCGGGGCCAGGGCCACCTGACGCTGATTTTTTTCCAGGAGCAAATCCCAACACTGACGCACTGAAAGTTCTGGGACAAACACTGTCCATCCCCCCACCTTCACAGCCGAACGGCACGAGTGCACGCATAAACGCACACGTGTGCGTGTGCCCCGCAGTCCATCCGCCTTACATCCCGAACTGTCAGAGCTGGGAGGGGCTTAGAACCCACTTAGCTATTTTATCCTATAAAGTGCCCTGGTTGTATAAGAGGGGAAAGGAGGGTTTAAGATATTGAGTCATTTCTGCAACAAGAGGCATTCTTGGGGACTTCCAGTCGCTCACACTCACTACTCGGGCTGCACATTTTTAAATAACATTTTAATTTTTAAAAGATTTTATTTATTTTTGGAGAGAGGGGAGAGGAGAAAGAGAGAGAGAAACATCAGTGCATGGTTGCCTCTCACGCACCCCCCTGCAACCAGGCACGTGCCCTGACTGGGAATTGAACCAGCGACCCTTTGGTTCCCAGGCTGGTGCTCAATCCACCGAGCCACACCAGCTGGGGCTGGGTGCACATTTTGTCACTCAACCTCCCCGGGTCCTGGAAGGACCCTTCACTGTGTTCCTATTGAAAACTTACTCTAGCTGCCAGAATAAAAAGCTAGGAGAGGCAGCCTAAATTCTCACTGTCAGTCAATAAAGTGGAGAAAAATGTGGGTCCTCTGAGGCGGCGCACTCCGGACAAAGGAGATGCTACACGTGTGTGTTTGTCGTAGTCCCTCACGTTATTGTGTAAGATCTATGGTAAACCTTTATCTTAATTCTATACACAGTTTTGCCTCAACAGAACAAGCACACAAAAGACACACTTAGTTAATAAAGACGTAAGCTGATTTACCTGGCTGGCGTAGCTCAGTGGATTGAGTGCGGGCTGGGAACTAAAGTGTCCCGGGTTCGATTCCCAGTCAGGGCACATGCCTGGGTTGCAGGCCACAGCCCCCAGCAGCCACACATTGATGTTTCTCTCTCTCTCTCTTTCTCCCTCCCTTCCCTCTCTAAAAATAAATAAATAAAATCTTAAAAAAAAAAAAAGACGTAAGCTGATTTAAGAAAGTGGCACATCCCACATAAAACAGCGTTCGCATTTTGGGCCAGAATCCTAGTGTGGAAATATCGGCGGAAGTAGAGCCAGCTATCTGAATTCCGCGGATGAGGCCAGGGCCCACCTTCGCCTCGCACAGGTTTTGGCTTCGTCTCCTAAGCGGAACTTCCCTGCTGGGCACTGCCTGTGCCGTGAGTTTCTTCCGCCCCCTTTCGTGTGAGGCTCCCCTTTCTCCTTTGCTGTGAAATCGTGTGGGCAGCACCTGTCAAGTGGTCTTTTATCCACGTTCTCCACGCGAGGGCTTCTTGTTGGGGCTCAGCTCGGGCAAGTGCCCAGCCCCGGCGGCCCCCCGCTGGGCCGGCGTCTGAGGGCGGGTGGGCGCGGGCAGGGGCTCGGAACCCGCTCCTCCAGTCCGTCCTGTGTGCTCTCGTCTGTGTTTAAATAGCCACTGGGCGGGGGGGGGGGGGAGTGATGAAATGGACCCCATTTCCTCATACTTTGTCTGACAAGTGAACTTAAAAATACGCTGGCTCAGGCTTCTCATCAGCTCACATATCAAGTTGACATGTTCAGGACTAGAATAAAAACGTAAACACAAAGACGAAACAAAGTGAAAATCCTTAGCATGTCCCAGGAAGCAGTCAGCTTGTCAAAAGGTCTTTTCCTCTCCACTCCTCAATTAGCATTTTCATAACGCATTGGCCTCAAGGATTGAACAGTTTAAAAGAATGCGTATGTGTTTTTTTCTATTTGTTTTATGCCTGGATTTTTTTTTTTTTGGCTTAAAAATTTTTTTTGATTGTTGTTCAAGTACAGTTGTCTCCATTCCCCCCACCACTCCCCACCCCCAGCCATCCCCACTTCCGCCCTTGACCCAACCCCCATTTGGTTTTGTCTCTGTGTCCTTCATAGTTGTTCCTGAAAACCCTTCCCCCTCCCACCCCCCACTATCCCCTCCACCTCCCCTCTGGTCACTGTTAGTTCTTAATTTCCATGCCTCTGGTTGTATTTTGCTTGCTTGTTTGTTTTGTTGATTAGGTTACACTTATAGGTGAGATCACATGGTATTTGTCCCTCACCACCTGGCTTATTTCACTTAGCACAATGCTCTCCAGTTCCATCCACACTGTCACAAAGGGTAGGAGCTCTTCTTTCTTTCTGCTGCATAGAATTCCATCGTGTAAATGTACCACAGTTTTTTGATCCATTCATTTACTGATGGGCATGTAGGTTGCTTCCAGCATCTAGCTATTGTAAATTGTGCTGCTATGAACATCGGGGTGCATGGGTTCTTTTGGATTGGTGTTTCAGGGTTCTTAGGATATAGTCCCAGCAGTGGAATTGCAGGGTCAAAAGGCAGATCCATTTTTAGTTTCCTGAGGAAGTTCCCTACTGCTTTCCATAGTGGTTGTACCAGTCTGCAGTCCCACCAAGAGTGCACTGGGGTCCCCTTTTCTCCACAACCTCTCCAACACTTGTTGTTTGTTGCTTTGTTTATGATGGCCATTCTCACTGGTGTGAAGTGGTATCTCATTGTACTTTTAATTTGCATCTCTGATGGCTAGTGACGCTGAACATCCTTGTGTCTCTGGACCCTTTGTTTTCCAACGGTATGGGAAAACACATTTGCCAATGGATTTTCGAACAATTACAGTTCCCACTGCCATTCAGACTGTAGACCTGTGACTGTCATGTCCGCCATTGGCAACCCACTGCTTAAGCAGCTTCCGTTTCTGGGGGCGGGGGGTGGTGGGCGGCAGCTCTCCGGTGGACTACTGGCATGAGTTACCAACTTTGCACTATTTAGCCATATTTGAGCTAAAAAATTAGATTCATCCATTCAACAGACGTTTGTTGGATGCTACCGAGAATCTCCGTGACACAGACGCTTGGAAAAGAGCGAAAGAACGGGGCGCAGAGGCCCGCCCGGTGGCCCTTTCTCCGGGGGAGAGACGGACTAACCGGGTGTGCGGACGCCGTGGAGAAGGCGAGGACAGCGTCTCAGCTGGGGCCGCTGCAGCAAAGCACCAGGACCCGCGGTTTAAGCCACAGACATTTATTCCTCCCAGTTCTGGGTGCTGTGATGTCCAAGTTCAGCATGCCGTCTCGGTGGGGCTGTCTTGTGAGGGCACCCCTCCCACCCCGGGGACCCCACTGCCAGGACCTTCTCCAGACCCGACTGCCTCAGCAGGCCCGGCCTCCAAATACGCTCACGCCGGTTCTCAAACCTCTCGGTTCTCGAACAGTTCAGTGCTCCACTTCGTCGTTCACGGGAAAAATGTCTCGGTTATCTAACAAAACTTCGGGTTTCTATTCTCCACCTGAGAAACCATTCCTGCCGATACCTGCGTCATCAGCCACGCACCTCTCAGGTGACAAAGGAGATTCGGTTTTCGAACAAATCGCTTCTCCAACAGTTTTCCGGAATGAACCAGGTGCGAGAACAGAGGTTCCACTCCACCGGCACATCGGGGGCTGGGCTTCACCTGTGATTGTTTTCTCTCTTCCCCGCGTGGTCGCCTCTCGCTCGCGTGCCCTGGCCGGGACCACGTGGGCCGGGGAGTACCGTGCTGTGTTGATTGCGGTAACTCTGTAGCAAGTTGGAGATCGGGAAGCGTGAGATCTCCCAGCTGTGTTCTTGTTCAAGTTGGACTTGTCACTTCTGGGTCCCTTGCATTTCCGAATGACTTTTAGAATCATCTTATTACTTTCTGGGTAAAATCTAGCTGTGGTTTTGATAGGGGTTGTGCAGAACATGTGGATCAGGTTGGGACTTTGCCACTTAAAAAGTATTACATCTTTTGATACATGCATGTTTTCCTTTTGTTTAGATCTTTTCCAACTTCTTTCAATAATGCTTTGTGGTTTCAGCATACAAACCATACACTTCTTTTGTTAAATTTATATCTAAGCATTTTATTTTTGATGCAGTTGTAAATAGAATTGCTTTCTTAGTTTCACCGCTAACGTATGGACACAGAACTGATTTTTTGCATTGACTTTGTACCCTGTAACCTTGTTAAAATAGTTCAATAATTCTAATAGTTATTAAAATGGTTCATAGGGTGTTCTATGTACAAGACCACGTCATTTGCAACAAAGGTGATTTTAGTTCTAATCTCAATACCGTCTGTTCCTTTTTCCTGCCTCCTCGCCCTCCCTGGGGGCTGATGGGAGGGGCTGGGCGGCCCTCCTTGTCTCTCTGCCGATTTTGGAACGGGAAGGTCTGTCCCCATTAAGCATGACGTTTACTCCGAGTTGGTCAGAGATGCCCTTTATTGGGTTAGGGAGGTTCCCTCTTCTCCCTAGTTTACTGAGCCTTTTTCCTGAAAGGACGTTAAATTTTGTCGGATGATTTTTGTAGAAACAGTTACGTGGTTTTTGTCCATCAGGCTATTAAAATGTTTTAGTACCTTGATTATTGGACCCAGGAGATTCCTGATGTAAGACAAGCGAATCAGAATTTCCTTCCCTGGGAAAACGTAAACTTAGAAATAAGGTTCGGAGACTTGCAGTCATTTTAAGCGCAGAACGCTGGGCGAAGACCCCGCACTGGGCGATGTCAAAGCCTTGGGGGCGGCACCGTTCAGGGACCGGGGCTGTGGCGGGGCGGCCCAGGTGGTGACCCTCGTGGGTGGACCCTGAGTCCTGGAGGAGCTGTGCTGTCTGAGAGAATCGGGTGACACTCCGGGCCGGGGACGCCCACTGTGGGGCAGGGGACACCCACTGTGGGGCAGGGGAAGCGTGGATGGAGGACACGTCCCTGTGACTGAGGAGCAGACAGTCCCCCTGCTCCCCGTGGAAAGAGGAGGGAGACGCTGGGGTTCGGGCCGAGTGTCTTGGGGTGAAACACTTCTCCCCGGGGGATCTCAGAGCTTTGGGGAAAACCAGTTGTATCCTACTCACCTTGACGTCAGAACCACCCACAGGGTGTAAAGTTTTTTAGAAAAACAGAAACCCAACTTGCAAGATCAGAGACTTGCCGTATTACTAACTATATTGTTTCTGTAGCTTTAAACTTGTTTTCCTTTTGCTTTTCTTTCCTTGGAGCTGTTTTTTTGAGGAAACGATAAACATCTAAAGTTGCCATGGCCTTAATTGCTATTGATCTTTGTGGATATCACCTTTATGCTCTCGAGTCTTCTCTGCCCGCTGTAAGTCCTCGGTTTCAGTCAGTTCCAAAGGGAATAACGTGTTGCTCAACGTTACAACACAAAACAGAAAGTGTGGCTTTTGGTGACAGGTGACCCGCTGTTTGGCTTGACCGGGTGTGATGGGGGTGGGCCTGCTCATCGCCACCCTGGGGCCCCGGGGCTCTCTAGGAGCCGGGCCCAGACCCTTCCAGTTCACCCGCAG